CTCGCAGACAGCACAGATCAAAGACTTCATTCCCGACACTATAGACACCCAGACCGCCTCAGCGCTTATGGCAGAACTAGCTCGTCCCTTTGGCGCTTCGGAGGAACCTGGTTTCATATACATGTTCTGGCTCACACCTACATCCCAATCGTCAGCTGCTCCTGTCGACGCCGCTCGCTCGCTTCTCTCTCCACCGTCACCGAATCGGGCACCGCGATCTCGAAGCGCTAGTAACGCTGTTTCAAGCTTCGCAGCTGCTGATCCATCGACATCAAAGAACACCATGCTTCTCAAAATCGGTCGCGCAGCAAATGTCCAGCGTCGTTTGAACCAATGGCAGCGCCAGTGTGGTCATGAAGTTGAGATTCTGCGATACTACCCCTATCTCCCTGGATCGCAGGAATCATCTGGTGTGGTTCCCCACATGACGCAGCATGTGCACCGAGTAGAACGCTTAGTTCACATCGAGCTAGCGGGTATGGGTCTCAAGAAAGACGCCGAGAAATGCGATGCTTGCGGAAGAGAGCATCGTGAGTGGTTCGAGGTGGAGGCCACGAGAGAAGGAATCAAAGCCGTTGATGGAGTCATAAGACGGTGGATAGAATGGGATGAAACGATGACATGAAATTAATGATTACATTGCATAGATATATACATATAGCCGGCGTTGGATTCACATGAATACACGAAGTTACGATCCACAACCCCCCAAAATGTCACGTTTGACCAGACACAAAGCTGCGATCATGGTATCTATAATATAAGAATAATCCCTCTCCCATCTATAAGTAAAGCCCATGCCATCTCTCATGACTCGTAAGAAAGTTCTTTCGATCAAATGCACCTCGCGTCCAAATTCCCACGCTACACGAACCGCACCTCATCAAATAGACCTGCTCTGACTTGAATAAGGGCAGCCAGCTCAAAAAGGAAGGATTGTAGGATGATGACATTGGTCACGACGTGCGACACTGAAACAGTCGTTGTGTTCTCCCTTGCTTCTCTGGGTTGAGGAGTTTCAGGCTCTGGTGTATCCATATTTCGAGTCTCTCGTTGAGGTGTTGCAATCTTGGGTTCCTCCGGTTCGTCTTCCTTGGTCTCGGGGTCGTGAAACTCGGACTCACTGGGCTCAGGTTCATCGACTTCCGAGTCCTTGGTCTCGGGTTCATTGACTTCCACTTCCTTTGCAAATTTGCCTTCTTCAGCATCAGCAGAGGTGGTGCCTTCAACCTCTGACTCGACTGGTTCCATCGGTTCCGCAACTTCAGGCGCAGTCTCAGCGTCAGAAAGATCAGTCTCCGTATCTTCCGTCTTCGCATCGTCCTCATCCTTCGCCTCCACAGGTAATTGCTCAGTAAGATCAGTCACAGTATCCTCAAACTGGTCCTCGTCAGCTTCAGAGGGAGCCTGCTCAGCATGTTCCTCCTCCGCTACCGCTTCATTCTCTACAGGTTCAGGCATTGGCTTCTTGTCAAACTTGAGAGGAATAGGCTCAACCTTGACATCTGGCAATCCAACCTTCTTAGAGAGGATAGTTTGATCCATAGCCGCAAATTCCGCCATCTGTCGAGCAAGCACTTCTTCCCTGGCCTTCTGCGCCGAATCGATAGTCTCGAGCGTTCTTGGTGGAGAGTGGCTACGTCCAGGAGTGCCTCGCCCCCTACTATGAGACGCTTCCTTGGAACTAAGCACAGACTTTCCAGGTGTCGCGTTGCCACTTCCAGAGCTACGACCCAGCTCTTTGCGTCCTCGCGGGCTGCTGGCACGGCTCGGCGTTCCCAACTCGGACAAGAGACGATGCGCCAATCCTTCCAGTGCCGACGGTCGGGAGGGTGATGCGTTGCGCGATACCTCTTCAAAGCTTGGTCGATCTGGAGGATCTTCGCTGATAGGGGTCGGCCTGGGTGTAGGACCCGCGTGGTGTAACATTGCATCCGCGGTCCTGAAGGCGTCACGCCGTTGTTGCACCAACTCGTCAAATCGGGGAATACTCCTTCTGTAGGCAGCCACCTGCTCTTCCAGTCTTCTGAGAACGTTGAAAACACGTGGTAAAGAGGCCTGGGACCATTGCGGCCGTTGGCGGCATTGTTCCATGGCTTGTAGCTGTTTTTGTTCTGGGGTTGGCGATGGCAGATCCTCAAGATCTTCGTCTTCACTCTCTCCATCTTCATCCTCTGTAGACTTACGTCTCGTCTTCTCAACCTCATCATATATATAAGAGCTTGGACTTCGTGCCAACCATCCTTCGATCTTCATAAAACCGCAGACCGCCAAGTCAACAAGTGTCTCAGTGACGGACAAATTCGTCTCGACTTGATTTACGAAGAATGTCTCCAGGAGGTCCAGTAGCGAGTTGAGAAGAGGGTCATCAGGTCGCAGAGTGTGATCTGCAACCTCTTTAGGCGCTCCAGGAAGACTGTCGGGCAGCCTCTGGTTACTCGTAGATGCCCTGGGCGCGACGAGCTTAAGGGAGCAAGGATGTGCTTCAAGCCTAGACATGGTATCTCGAAGGACAAGTTGATAGACCTCATCGAAGTCATCTTCACCTCCTATAGTTCCCGCCAATGACATAATGAATTCAACCTCTTGCTCTTGAGCGCCTACTGTTCTAGTGGCATTCTGAATAGGAACATTATCAGTTCTCAGCAGAGTGACGATAGCATATCGGTGGTGTCTCTTAAGAATAGCTGACACCAGTTGTAAGGTGACATGAATTGTTTGTTGATTCCGCGATCTCAAGCATGCGAGAACGAGATCAACCAGGTTGAAGAGTAGGGGCGTAGCAGCGGGTTCTGCCCTTTCTGCCAACATCGTGGCCAGGTCCATCGACTTTCTCTTGCGAGCCTTGCTGGCAGACGAGCTTGAGCTAGGACGGGCGGAAGCGATGTTATCGGGGAGTGCGAGGAGGTAATGAAGGATGAGGTTGATCATGTCAGGATGATCGAGTGATTCCAGGATACGGCGAAGATAAGTCAAAACAGCCACAGACGAGCCTCCATCGATATCAGAGGACTCAAGTAGTGAAGGGTATCTAAACTGTTAGCGTAGATCGGGACGAGAGTCGCTAGGAACTCACAATAACTGTTGAAGGAAAATAACTTGGAAGTGCTCCAGCAGAGTCGACTTGACCTCTACAGACCGACAGTGGTTCAAGACGTCTTGCCAGAATAATAGATGAGATAAGAAGGTTTCAAGGTGAGATTGGAACTCGGGCGAGCATGAGCTGATGACTTCGTAGTTGGATGTAGGATGTTCGTAATCGGAGAAGGCGAGAATAGGGGGTAGGTTATGAGGAAGATGGTCAACGACCAGTTTGCGACTGAGCTGGCTGTACAAAGCGCCAAGGCCTGTCGCCATCAAAGTTGATAGGTCACTTTCAACAATCCATTGTTCCAACGGTCCCGAACTCGATGCAGCTTCGATGATGTAGAGCAGTCCTGTTCGCGCAAAGTCGCCCACCTTACCCTCATGATGGATATAGTCCATGAGAATATAAAAGAGGGGGAAGTCGGCCTTCTGTGTCCGTCCAATGAACGCATCGCGGGCGTTGTCATCCTTCTCCCTGTTCTGAAGCGCCACGCCGCGGTGTGTCTTGAACCATGCTGGTAGAATGCTCGGGTCCAGCCGAATCTTGGTCGTGATGTTAAATGCCAGCTCGACGACACGCGACTCGGTATCCAGGCCCAGGCGCACGCTGTTGATGCCAGTAATTCGTACAAGAAGGTTCGTCAGGCTAGCGGAAAAGGTCTGGTTCTCAACAAACGCTTCCTCCTCGCTCTCGATCAGGGTCGCAAAGAAGAGGACGGCCTCCTTAATGATCCACTCATTGTACGAAGTCGTAGCGATCTTTCCAATGGGCACGTAGATTTGCTTGAGCGAGCAGTACTGAATACACGGATGCGGTAACGGTCTTCGACTCTCGTCGCTTAGGATGTTGGTGAGTTCCTGAAGGCGGATTTCGAGGGTCTCGGCGGCGTCGCTGTCTCGAGATAGGTTGGATGATGCTCTCCAAGCAGACTACTCTGGTTAGTGCTTGTCGCAGGCATGGGCTGGTTTGCTGGTCCTCACGAGTAAGAGGCTATATTGCTTCTCGAACCGGTGAAGTCGTTTCGCAGGATCATGTCCCAGGTCCTTGCGGGTGCCCCCAGACGAGAGAGGGCTCAATAAGCGCGACCACTGCACGGAGAGCAATTAGTTGGGTGACATGGTTGCATTGGCAGATGGTGATGAGATACTCACGAAATCCATGATGATATTGGAGTCATTTCCCGGCGACTATAACTAGGGGATAAAGGTCACCTTGACCACATAACGGCACCCCACAGGTCCTTGTAAGTTGAAGTGTTGAGAGCTGTTGTCTCCTGGGCGGCCAGGGACATCCGAGTGGACATGTGGCGCTGGGTGTGGCTGAAGTAGGTGTGGCTCCTGGTCCAGGGTAGTTGTGAACCCCCCTATTTTGAAAAGACTCATCTGCATTACTCTGCAAATAGTCCATCTTAACATAAGTTTATAGGTAGATGGTTTTGTTGACCTTTCACCTTCTGTATAGATGATCTGTTCTCTTTTCTGTTGAACAAGTCTTTGAACAGATGTCACATACGTGTTTGTGATGGCAAACACATCATTGTTCGATCAAGTAATACATTCACAAAGTAAATCAAACAATTGCAGTTCAAAAACTGATCTACATCAGCTTGGTTTATGTAGGACTTGATAGGGTGGGTATCTATAGCCTTTCAATTTATCCTATGGGGTGGCCGAAGCTCACGACATTTAGCACAGCCAAGGAAGACCATCACTTCACATGTGAAGACTGCTTAGATTAAGTCAATATCAAGCATCAGATACATCTCAGTCATCTCTAGACTTGTGTTGACTACGATACTTTGTGAACTGCCCTGCTCTGCTCTCATGCATGGGGGCTTGCGCCATATCTGACAAGCACCTCCAAAAGATCAACTACCGCCCTCATATGAACAGAAACGCTGTTTCATGCATCTTCAGTCTGAGCGATCAGTCTCTTGAGCATCCGAAGACTCATATAGCTCTTGCACCATGCGACGAGTGTAGCGACGCTCACGCTCAATTTCATCCCGGAGAGTCTGGTTTTCCTGTTGTATCTCGTCCACTTTCCATTTGAGGCGTTTGACCTCTTGTTCCATGGACCTCAAGCCCAGTCGAAGTGTCCGCTCAATTTCCTGTTCTTTTCTTGCTAGACGTTCCTTGGTACGGTGCAGGACATTATTGTGGAAACGATAGTCTGCGTCCATGGCAGCACGTCCCTTTGCAATATTGACATCGAGTCGTTCATTGACTCGTTCATTGAGACGCCGATCAAGGGCAACAAAGCGATGGTTAAACTTTTCCTCGCGATAGTAGTAGCGACGATCCTAAGACCATGTGAGCTCAAGCAAGACGAGAAAAAGAGATGGAAGACAAACAGGAAGATGACGATGCTTGCAACGATGAGTCTCTGTTTCACCAGTCGTATCTCTGGCATTAAGAGCAGAAGCATTGGTGGCCGCTTCGGTGTCAGCTTCAGCGGTCGAGGCCTGAGCTGGATCGGCAGCAGCCTGGGCTTGCTTTTTGTTTTGCTTCGCCGCCTCTTGGCGCTCTCTTCGCCTCCGTATCTTGAGTCGGCGCCGCGAGCCCAGTCGTGGACGGGACATGTTGGCGATGAAGGCGCAGTGTCGATAATTAGGGGTATAGAGCCACGGATGAACACCAGGGAGTCAAGTCTCGAGGCGTAAAGAGGGGAAAAGAAACCAAGAAAATCCGGTATCACGCTACCTTAGATAGAGTGAGGTGATATGACACTGGCATTGCACTGCTGGATGCCACTGCCAGTTGCTGCCAGCTGCTGCCAGCTGCTGCCAGCTGTTATCGCCAAACGGCATTCACCTTTCTCACAACCAGTTACCCAATCAGCACCGCAGTTCGAATGCAGAATAGAGAACAATAGAATGCGGCCACTGTGATTCAACGTGCGTTTCTCGCAACCAGTCCCTCTTCTTGCTGCCTATAAATTCCCTCTTCCCCCCTCTCCTCTCTCTCTCCTCTTCTTCCTTCGTCACCATCCTCTCACTTCAACAGAGGTCAACTGCAACCAAATCTTCTTCTTCTTCTTCTTCTTCTTCTTCTTCTTTAATCTCTATCCATTACTTTATCTTTGTGGTGACCATTTGTCATGGCCAAGAAGTCAAAGCCACCATCGAGCAAGCGCAGAATGCTTCAAGCGCAAGCTGCGCCAGCGCTTGCTCCCCCATCGGTAAGCTATTGATCGAAGCCCGCGTCAGCTACCATGTCTCACTGACCGCCATAGACTGACATAGATATGGCGAACACAGGGACTCCTCTTGATCAGGTATGTCTGCTTTCTTTTCTCATCCACCCTTGAATGCGCTCCTCTTGTTGCCCCCTCTTCCCCGCATGCGAGCCAGGAGCAGCAAAGCACCCCGACATAACGCCCCAAGTCCTCGTGTCTGCTCTCAGATGCATGTCACAAACTTGGATGTTGGGTCCCAAGCTGTTGATCAAGGTGCTCATGTGAGCATCTCCAAGCTTAGCTTGGGCTGCAGTTTGGGTCGCTTCCAGGTCCTCAAAGTCAACCACCAAGATATCCAGTTCGGCTTGAAGCGTAATTCGGGCCCCTTGTGGGCACTGTTGTTTCTTGGGAGAGTAATGCGGGCCCCCCGTGGGTGCTGGTTTTTTCCGTCGAAACATTGGGTTGATATCTCCAGGCTTAGCCTGGGCACAACTTTGACTTTGGGGATCGCGGCCTCGTACCAGTTTACGTCGGGAATACAGTCCACATTGCCTTTAAGTTGCGTCTTGGGCTTTGGTATCGCTCCGGCATATCTCGTGGGGCCTGTCCAGATGGTCAATTGGGTTGCTCTGGGACTGGAAAGCAGGGTCCAGTGGTTGTGGTGCCAGAGGATTCAAAGTGTATATCAAGGTGCAGACATACTCAGCTCAGGAATACTTGGCTGACGGATGTGGTGAACAGGAAACAACCATTGCTGAAAGCAACACCACACGAGAGCTCTCAGACATCAAGCGACGTCTCGATAAGCATCGCGAAGATATCGACGAGACCCATGCGATGGTCACCTATACCGGGAACGCCCAATTCACGTTTGAGGCCATGATCGAAAAATTCGATGACCGTCTTGAGGATGCCGCGAAAAGGGAAGAGGAACACCGCCTCAACTGCAACCGAGAGCTATTGAAGATGTATTGTAGCCTTGATGATATGTCTTCCTCCGGCCCCACCAAAGTGGCTCGTGATGTCCGTCAGAATAAGGCTCAAGTAAGTTTGTCCTTCAACTGCTTTAGGAAAGAATAGATACTCATACTATAACTTGGTAGATTCGCGACTTGCATAAGAAGTAGGAAGAAATGCGCAAGGCGAATCAGGCCCTGATTTCGGAAAATGCCAGGCTCAAGGGGCAAGTCAAGAAGCAGGATGCTGCTATTGAGCAGCTCACCTCTACTGTGAACGATATGATGGGTCGATTCGCCAAGCTTGAGTCGACCGTTCACTGCACGGAGGCAGAGCGGAAGCTCAGCGAGTTAGAAGTCTAAGCGTACCACATAAAGTTGGCGAATAACTGAATGAACATGAGCGCACTGCGACTTTGAACAAACACCTGAATGCTTGAACAGCACGATGTAATGTGATTGTAGTAGTTTGTTCTTGAACAGCTCTGCGCTAGAGAAATCCCCGCTTGGGGATGGGAGAGGGTCATGGTCAAGAGCACAAGACGTGAAGACATCACCATTCAATTCAATAGACAAACATTTAACAATGGCACTACTTTTATTCACTGCAAGCGCTATCCAACAGCCTAGCCTGTCGAAATCGAACCAAACAACCGCTGTCCTTCCATCACAGCCATGCATCGCCCAGCCAAACTCGACCGCTCGCTCACCTGGGGCTCGTCGGATCACCATTGCTGCCGCTGCCGCTGCTACCGCCACCGCTGGCCCTGGTGCGACTTGCCCAGATGTGCTTAACCCGGTGAGAGTCCATGGGCGGCGACGCGTACTCCTCGCCGCTTGACTGCGTGAAACCGCTGACGTTGCTGAGCATGCTAGAACTACGTCCACGAGAGCGAGTCATGCGGGGTTCGAAGGGAGGCGCAGTGGGAGGAGGTTGCCAAGGAGACATGGACGGGAGAGTGGGAGCCGATGCCGAAGGGAGGACGTTATCAGAGGCGGACCAGAGACCAGTTGGGTAGTGAGGAGGAGCCGTAGGATCGGGGTTCCAAGTACTCGAAGTCGTAGGCTGGAAAGGCGGACCAAGGTGGGAGTGTCCTGCGTCAAGAGGAGGCATCATGTCGTAAGACATGCCATTCGAGTTGATGTACTCGTGAAAACTCTGCAGCTGCATTTGCAGGTGTCGAATCTCCTCACTCTTGTTGGCATTGTTCGCACGAACATGAGCCAGTCGCTCGTTGTAGTTAGCTTCGATACCAGCGACATGGCCCTGCCAAACGGAACGCTCCTGGTTTCGTCGTTCTGCCTCATCAAGACCGCGGTTGTTGGCGTCGGTGATGTTGGCAAGCTCGTTCTCAACCTTCGCAATTCGAGTCGCCACTTTGTTACGGCGGGTGTTGAGGTTCGACTTCTCGACTTCCTTGGCCTTGATCTCCTTCTCCAGCCCTGACTTGAACTCCTTGAAAGCCTTCTGAGCTGCCTCAAAAACCTTCTTCTCACTACTGTACTGCTTCTCGACCTTCTTTTTACGTTCGCCGAGTTCAGGTGCAGTGTCGAAGTTTTTGAGCTGATCAGCCAGTTGCTGGGTATCACGCTCTGCCTGGGCTTTCTGGGTCTCTTGCTGACGAATCTTTTGTCGGTACTTTTCGTCATGGTTTCCAGCCGAAGAGAGTTGATTATCCGTCAACTCGTTGTCCTTTTTGAGGGCGTTGGCGCGGTTCTTGTACTCCTTTCGTAGAGTCTTGAGGCGGGACCTCTCCTCGCTAAGTCTGGCTTCGACTGCAGCAATCGATGTCCTAAGAGTCAGGGCAGGCGAATCCGGGTGGAGGGAGCGCTGTCCGTTAGCAACGGGAGGCGGAACACCGTCCGCTTCTCGCTGAGTGGCCTGGACAGTTCGGATGCTGGTTGAGAACAAAACCTCATCAGTCTGGCTATCCACAAACTCACAGACATACTTGGAAGCAGGCCTGAGTCCGTAGATGTCACCAGTCCATCGAACCCCCTCGTGAGACTCTCCCGGGGACTCCTCGATCGGAAACATGCGAGTGGGCTGCCAAACGGCGTTGTTAACTCTGACGTAAAATGGCTTCGAGGTGTCAATATTAGCTGGTCTCGAATCTTCGCCTGAAGATTCAACTGAACGCGGCTCGTCGTCGTCGATTTCGGGAAAATGGCTGGTGTTAAAACAAACTTCATCGCTACCAATGTAGGATATCCAAATTTGGTTGGGTTGATTGTTGAACGGAGCATTACCAAGATTGTGAATGTCGGTAGCATTAGTGCCAGCAGACTCAGAGGCCGCATGGGATAACTCGTACTCCTTCACCACAACAATCTTGGTGCTCGCCAATGCCGCCCATAGTGGTTGCTGTAAACGAACTTGAGTGCTTTGCTTTCTTCTTTTTTTGCTTGTAGGTACAGTGGATGTCGAATTCAAGCCTGCTTCAGTATCAGGCGTCGCGAAGCCTCCTTCATTAGCCGTATCGCTGATCACACTTGGTGGCTTTCCGGCCTCAGGATCGCTCGCACCAACAGAAGCGTTGGCTTTTTCGCGTCTGAGATACCATTCTCGGATATATCGCACAATTCCTTGGGTTAAAATATGAATGGCGAGAACACTTCGAATCCATCCGTAGGCAGACATCTTATCATATACGCTCGAAGCAGAATCGACTGGGTTATTGAAAACTTGGGGCAACCGCCAGTGCTCTGGTATGTGTCGAGCCACACGACCCCAGTGAGCTTTGGTTCCCCTGAGTAGGTGATGACCTATCACCCACATAAAACAAGTGGTAAGGCCTCTCGATGTTCCATCCCTCGCACTCGTCCCCCCTCCCAGAGTGATGGCAATGACTGGCTTGGCAAAATCCAGGATAGCATCCTGGATTGGACCCCACAGAAAGAGCCATATCAGTAGGAAAAAGAAGTCAACACACAAGACAGTTACGAGAGAAGGCATGGTCGAATTGCCGTCGAAAATCTCGGCAAGGTTGATGCTCATTCCCGAACTGGTGGCGACGGGAGGAACAAAGGTAAGGAACGTGAAGATGGTGTATATAACGGTAAGCGAGAGCGAAGGGACGTGCATAAGAATGATGAGAATAGCGAGTGTGTCCTGCATGGGGAGAGACTTGAGAACTGTGGTTGCGAGGTCGAACGGGCCTGAGTCGCGGTGGACATCAGCGTTCTTCATGGCATTGACGTCGATCTGGCGGTGGCCAGCTTCGACACCACTGAGGCCGTTGGCGTTGGACGAGTCGGACGACATCTCGGAGACGGCGTCAAGAGAGGAACGGCGGGGGTCGTCGGTACGGGAGTCATTGGAGGCATCATAGACACACTGCTTGTAGGGGCTGTTGGCGTGACCATTGACGGGCGTCGACTGTCCAGCAGCACCAGCAGTACCTTGGTCAGATCGGCGAAGAGAGTTGTCGAGCAGGCCCGAGCCCTTCTTGTCAGAGGAACGCTTGGCAGAACCTACAAGCCCATTCTCATGGCGATTGTCGCGATGACTGGCGGCGCCTTGCTGTCGCTTACTCGAACCTGGAGCGCGAGGCATGCGCAACGACTTGTCTTGCTGCCACAGTCTGACGAACCCAGGAACCACTCGGGAACAGGGCCGGCAGCCGGGACAAGCCTTTCAGGGACAAGGGCTTGGTGCAAAGAGTTGGCGACTCGAGCGTTATGGCGTCTCGGTCGATTTTAACACGAGGGGACGGGTAAAGTATCGGGTCTCGGAATAATATGTAGTAGAGTTGGGAGGCGTGCCGTTGCGACAAGAAGGTTCGTGGTCGACATGTGCATTCGAATTGAAAACGGTCGGCAAAAGAAAACACGGGCGACAAAGGCTATGATCAAACTGATAAGGGCGACGACAAGAGGGGAACTATCGTCAAAATGCAACAAAGCAAAACCTGCCAAGATCGGCCGGAGGGCCGCAGAAAGCAAGTAATGAGCGTTGCAAGGAGGTAGTTTTGATCGGTTACAAGATGATTTACAGTGGGATGTTGTCAAGTGGATAGTTGGTAAGATAAGGTAAGTAAGGAAAAAAGACAAGACAAGGCAAGGTAGGGTTGACTGTTGGTTGAAGTCAGGTGGTGGAGGTGGGAGATTTTTTGGCTGTCAAAGCCCAGGCTTGGATTGGATTGAAAAGGAAACAGAAAGGAATAGAGAATAAGGAATGGAGTGGCAGAACGCAAAGACGATGGACAGATGGGAACGGGAATAGCGGGGAGAGGGGGACTCGCACTGTGCCAACAACAAGCCAACGCGGCTGTTTCTGACGCTGTTGGATGCTAGAGTCCACTGTAGTCCTAGTGGCTCGCATGATCTCAGCAGGGCTCCAACCTTTGAGTGCCAATGGATGGATGGCTAGGTTGCGAGCTGCACGAGAGATGGATCCCCGTTGGAGTGCGGAATTGGGGCAGTTGGGGGCAGCTTATTCTAGTGGAGTGCGCGCTAAAGGCGCGTCAAGCTGAAGTTTTGAGTTGGGGATGCAGGTTTTTGCTGGAAATACGAAGTATATGAAGCCGTTGACGATGTAAATCTGCGATAGATCTCGAGGCTTGAATCGCTAAGGCTACGTACGATCATCTGGGTTCTTGCAAGTGGATCGATCACTCATAGTTAAAATTCCGTTTCTGGTCGATTTTGGCTTGTTGAATGCCAGCGGATCAGGTACTCAGGAACAAGGTTGAGATGGTCAGTTTGAGGCGCTAGACTGCGCTCAATGGCTGAGTCTTGCCCACAGACGATGACGATCAGCAGCCGAGGATGAATGTCAGTGTCTAATGCCACTTTCCAGCACGATGCCTTCAGACTTTAAGAACAGAAGATCATGATAGAGAGATTCGAGATACTAGATTCAGCGCATTCTGTAAATAGCGCCCTCTTCGCGCTGAAAGTGGGTTTTCTCAAGTAAAAACAACTGATCCATTGGGGAGTCACATGCTCCACCATGAAACACTCCGTGCCTCCCACTGTGTGAACCCTGTTTTTAGCATAGCAGATGAGACGAGGCGATGGAAAGGACGGGAAATAATTGGCAGGGACCAAAGTCTTTGTCCACATTCGTCACAAGACCATTCTTCAGGTCGAATTGATTGACAACACAATGCCCAGCTGTGTTGCTGCGTTGACGTTTCTTTGCAGGGTCTCATCTTGTTTCTGCTACAGTCTCTTAATACTGCGTTATATAGCCTGTTTCTCGTCACGCCTGGTTAGGTCCCATGTGCCCGATTTCTTCACTCACATCTCGATATATCATCAACAATGTAACATTCGCGTGGGCACGCCATCGCTTACACGCTCTGCCAGGCATTGGCCAGGGCACACCCCGGCTCTGCCGATTCTAGGGCTTCTCCGCAATGCAAGAAAACACTTAACAATTCCAGCCTCATGAAGAGGATCCATCATCAGCAATTGCGCAAGACGGTGAAATGCTCGGTAGACTCCGATGCGTAGGCACATGCCAGAAACAAGATGAGCGAATCATGCCCCAGATGTTAAGCTTTGGGATTGTCGCCCCCCCATCTCACCTCGGCCGGATCAAGGTGTGTCTAGGGAGCGACGGCCGAATGGCCTTCGGGAACAGTGGCCTTGGAAAAAAGAGAATTTACTGCTTCTGACGTCGTGAGCGCCATGGCCTGCCCGTTGTGGGAAAGGCCCTGAGCTGGCTCAAGGGGGACAGAATTTAGGATGACATGGATTGTTCCTAGGGCCATCAACTGCACGGACACGGACAAGGACAAGGAAGCTGAAATATCTGGTCTTGAGTCGTGGTGAAACAACCAGTCTTTTTGAGATGAAGTTTTTTGTTTATTCGTCTCGAGAGTCGACATCACGATTAACCTCACAACGATGAGACAGCACATTCCACCAGCTGCAAATCATGCAACATGACCCAGGAACTTTATCTGGAATCCAGCGCCTAAAACAACAAATTAATTCCCGACTCACCGTGGCTGATCGACTCCCCGGGACGGTACTTGAGTCATTAGACTCTGTCCATTTTTTCACTTTCGGCAGTTTTTCTTGGCCCGTTTTCGCTCTAATTTCACGTCCCGCTTTTTGTCTTTGCAACCATCAACAAAGAGCCTCGTCTTGATATGGACAATCACCGATGGAGCGCACCAAATTTCAACTTCCAAGCTCATGGTTACATCGCCAAGGCTGCTCAATTTTGCAAGCTATTCCCTGTAAGAGGCTGCAGGCTCAGAGACTTTGATAAGCTCCACACAGGCACACACAAAAATGAAGCTGTCGCATAAAAACAACAGCAAAAAACCCCTCCTTATTCTTTCGTCAGTTGACGGCTAGGAGCGCCGATCGTCCCGCATAGGTTTTGTTTTTACGAATAGATCATCGCACAGTGATCGTCCGCCACGACTCAAACGGCCGTGCTCACGCATGCTTATGCGAGTCCGTTACTAAACACCATCCAGCCATAAGCCGTGAATTGCGTGATGAAAGCGTTAGGAGTGCTTCTCTCATGGGATCCTCGTGTTTGTTCGTCGAACAATTTTGCAAGGTGGGGAGAACAGATGAGGGATCAAGGCGACTCATTGCTACCTCAACCACACAAACCATCCAAACTCTTCACAACAACAACAACAGCTCCTGAGGAGCCTCCACGACGCAAGTGATGATCGCTACCCCGCTAGCAAATCGAAGCACCACCTTCAGGTCTTGGCTTTGATCCCTATCGATGAGGGGGATCTGTTTGGGTGCCGCCCCCGTCGGCACTTCTCGCACTTGTTTTCGGCTCGCCCTATCAAAATGCGCCTGCAACCCTGCATATCAGCTTTCTGTGCACTCTGTTTCGTGTGCTAGACCATGGGGTGGTGTGAAATGACGGTGAGCGGATAAAGAACCGGCCTCTACGGATAAGGAATCTTTGGTAGGTGGTCTGAGTGCCAGTTTCACTGAGTCGTCACAGTGGTCCGATATCAAGTTCGAGACATCTGGCAGTCTGGCTTATGCATCTGATGAAGCTGAATACTCAAAAACTAACTCACAAGCTATGATACTCTGGACCCTGTTCTAGGCGGGGGAAGCTTTGGAGCTTCGACTCTTTTTTCATGCGGGATGCCCCGTGCTGCTGCATGACGGGCGCCACGCGAAGCCAGCCCTGTCTGGACGGAAAGAATCGCTGGTGCTGTAATGTTGCAGGGCATGATGTGCTGTGATATCTTCCGATATCACACTTTCCGGTTGTGCTTCCGATGCGTTGTTTTCTTTCCGGGGGGAATGATTGACGCGAAAACCACCACAAATGGCTTCGGAGAGCGATAACGAGGGACAGTCCTGCTTGGGGATGGTATGACTTGAGATGACTGCCTAAACAGGCAACCCGATCTGTTTGCACGTCTCGTGTCTATCGGGTACAAGCTTGATACCTGTTTGTGTGGCTTGTGACAACTTGCCTGCTCTGGTTTGGTTTACTGGTATCATAAGTTAGGGGTTTGCCAGGCTCAGAAGTTTTCCGATGTTGCCGGGTGTGCTTGACCCTTTGTACTCGTCTCGTCTGTCATCCATCATGCCAATCAAGACGGGACACACTTAGCATGAGCCATGCAAGCAGCCTCTGGCAAGGAAATTGCCTTTTCAATTACACAACTTGCATACAATGAGGCCATCAGTTGATGCCTTGATGCTTGTTGCAGTCCACAACTTGCAAGCGGGAGCAACAAAACTTAGGACCTCTTGTCTAAGTGATGAAAAGACTTAGGTAAACTTAGTATGTCTTATGAGGATTTTAGACCAGTTTATGGTGGTAGCCTAATCCAACTTCAAAAGCTTTCTTGCGCCCTGAGGCTTGCTCGTCTGACCGAAGCTATCTCGGCTTTGCTGTTGATGTTCGATTGGGACGCGGCAGGCTTCACTCGTTGCCATCTTCAACCAACGTGCTTTCAGCCTTGCAAAAGTATTGGGCTTGGTCTATCTCACGCCCCTTGAAAATAGGCTGCTCTGACCAAGAAAACGACATGGTACTTGTGGAAGTTGAGTTCATTGATCAGTTGCCAGGCCTTCCTCCAAGATGCTGTAGATATTGCGAAACGTCGATTCGCCGCCGCAAAGAACATTCCCCGGAGAAGGTGTTCATAATGTGATATGCTGCAAACATACCGGGAAATCGGCATGATCTTTATTCGTGTCAACACGTAAATCCTCCTAATACTCACCCCTAATACTCATCCCACGTAACTCCCTCTCCTCCTCGCCAATCTCCTCCAATGTAACATGCTAAGCTTCTCTATCAACATCTAGATACTTTTCTTCTATCTGAGCTACGGCACTCAACATTTTCTTGTGCCTCTTAGTAAAGATTTTAGTCCTTCGCTCACCCTTTCTTTCCTTCCTAATATTCCTCTTCCTGTGCGCCCAGAGTTTGAATTCTAGCTTGTATACCTTGAACATTGCTCGTCTATATATCTCGCTGTTTCGGTATGTGTTACTTGGGGCAAGCTTTTCATAAAGCTCCCTTAGGGATTCTATGCCGCCGGCATGGGTTGGTGGAGGCTGAAATGCTTGCCTAATGGAATAAGTATCCCCTTTCCTACCGGCCTTCATCTGCCCCTCGACGGAGGCGGACTTTGGGTCGAAATCGGTGTGTCTATCAACCCCTTGAGGGGGCTCCTTAGCCGTGCCTTTGGTGAATGGGATTTCGAAGGTCGGGCTGAGTTTGAGGTTCGTGACGCCGACCAAGCGCCTTGTGCCAACGGTATGAAACTCGATGCTCATGTAGATTGTGTTGTCCCTAATCCCGGTCGCAACGTAGACATGCAGTTGCGGTAGATACGACCCATTGATAGTATCCTATGAGCAAAATATCAGCCTGAGATCAGGTGGGCTACGATGAGAGACTTACATTCGCTAGCCCTGGGCCGTCAACGTGGTTCACAATGTGCATCTCGATAGAACCAGGCACAGTTTCAACAGGCACAGGAGGACCTGTCCCATCCGCTTTCCATTTCTCAAGTGCAATATTGGTAAGGCTATACAGTCCATTGGGTGTTATGCTGTGTTTCTTTCTCTACGTGGAATTAGCATTCTGTGTTTTACCACTTCAGAACATTTACGTACGCCTTGAAACGTGGTCTCGATGTGTTTTCTTGGATTCAACTTTATACGATATACGTTCCACTTGTCATAGTTCACGTCGAACAATGCGCTGCCCGTAGTCCAATCTCTTTTCGGTAGTCTACACTCTTCACATTCGACGCTCTGAAGGATATTTGACATGATCCTAACCTGCTCCCACTGCGGACCTTCAAAGATCAGCACGCCGAGATCGTTATACAAGTAAGGAAGAATCGCCATCTCCATATCGGGGTCGACTGTTGCCTGAACGCCTGCGCTTGCGCCAGGAGGTATAGTTCCACTTGTTCGTGGTTGCAGCGCTGGTTTGAACTTGTTGAGCGTCGGCCATTCTGAAAACGCTGTGGAGGTATTCGGGATTTTTATAATGGTATACTTGGCACTTGGGTCTGCAGGGATCGGACGTGCTGCTTTGGCTGCTGGCAGCATTATACTACTTGGCCAGGGCCTTGTTGTTCGCTTTCCCTTTGGCTTCTGCATCTGCTCCGGCTCTTCTTTTATCATGGTCCTGTAAGGCGCATGGCTCGGCGGTCTGAAGAGTGCTCGGGGGCCTCTCAGAGCATTGCGGGCTCTCACTGACATGACGGTTACCTTCCGAGCCAGATCCGGGATGTGAGCAAGGAGCCTCGACTCGAGGGATCGCGAGGGCGTGGATCGATATCTTCAAATACAGTTGACGATGGCGTAATGTAGAAGCTGAATGGGAAATTTCGTGGCTGAAGCTACAGCGAGGCTGAGGTGGGGGATCGACGCCACAGTATGGACATGCCGCGGCAGCATCATACATCATCCGCATCGGTATTCCGCGGCTGTATGAGGCCGTGGTTCATACACAAACACAGTTAATATGAGCTTGAATCCGCAATTAAGACGGCAGGTCATCGCCATATATAAAGGTCTGTCCAAGCCTTGGAGCTGTCACACGGGGAATATGCTGACCGTGATATGATAGAGCTTTTGTATATGGGAAGAGAGTATCCCCTCGGCTTTGACTACTTTCGGCCTCGTCTTCATAAGGCCTTCATCTCGAAAGCTGGAGAACGTGATGAGAATAAGATCCGCCAGGGAATTGCCCAAGCTGAATATGTCAAGAAGGGTATGTTTTTGAGTCAAGTGGGTTGATGACATTGGCTAACCCTATATGACAGAAATTGAAGCCTTGTAAGTCTTTGTTCGTTGAGATTGCTTCGGTCATGTCGTGAGACAACTTGCCCATCACATTTGAGTATGATGGATTGTTTATGTTGTATGCCACGAGTATCACCGTTTATCGTCAAACATGACACATCGACGTAGGCCATTCCATTACATCACAATGCACCAGTCACAAACACTCCAGTCCATGCCAATAAGTTCATTTATCCCAAAAGCTACATTATCCTGATATCCCAACCATTATCCGTCAACCTGCTTTTTACTAATCATATGGGTATAGGTACTACTTGAAAAGGTATCGCACATTGAGAAAACGATATGACGCCAACGCGTAAAGGGGGAAAGGGGGTATGTTGTGCATGTAGAAGATGCTGATAGAGGTTCTTTGGGACGTTGAGGTCCAGGGTGTTTGTAATTATTGTGTCAGGGAAGCATTCCAGTCTTGCATCTATCATGAGACATAGATGTTGAGCCATTCGTCATAATCCACGTGGGAAGATCATCTTTGCTTTTGCGGTACAATGACCACAGTGACCCCGGAGCTTACTCCTTGCGTAGTCTCTTTCTTGATGACCACACTCCCAACTCCAAGCACTCTCCCCAACTTGTCCCGCTCTCACTCATCAGATCTGCCATCATCTTAGCTACCCACGCATCCCACTCATCCTGGCTCTTGCCGCTCGCTTCTCTGATGATAGGTTCCAGTGCCGACACTTGTTGTGCAACTGTCAAAAGCGCTGTCTTGCGAAGCGCAGATTGTCCCGGTGTCAAGGTCTTCTTTTCGACCTTCTGGTGCGGTGTTGACTTGGCCTTCATCTCCACGTACGACTTGCCATCCTTAGTGACAACACCGCCAACACCTTCGCGCTCCCATCGGACTTCGCTCAAGGGGATAGCTAGACGTTTTGTCTTGATGTCCATAAGAACCTCTGCTTCAGCGTGGAGGAAGGCCCCAATGAGAGAGCACGGCACAGGTGAAAGCTGCCGTCCTTCCAGAGTCCTTGACAGCCAGGTATTATACTCAACCAAGAAAGAGTTCAAGGGCGCGGAAAGGGGCGTTTTGGAAGTCATGAGATAGGCACCTAGATCAAGGGCAGCCTCGTGTTCTTCTGCTTCTTCTGATCCGGGCATTGCGCTTGGGACATGAGGTCGCAGCATGCGGAAAGTTGGGTCACTATCCCATATCTCCATCACTCCTCCAGGCTTGAGCATGCGAAGATACTCCTCCACAAAAAGTTGGTAAACATGACTCGGAACCATCAGGCACGTATCTTTGACCATAATCAGATCAAACTCTTCGTCAGCAAAGGGCCATGGGAGATGTCGAAGATCGTGCTGAACAAATCTCCATTTCATGTCCTTGTCTGGCTTGCACAGCTCGGCAGGGGATCCAGGGCTGCCAGGGGCCAGGGGGGCAATGTCAATGCCGGTAAAGTGAATACCATTGTGGCCTCGCTCCTTGTAGTATCTGTGGCACATCATACTCCAAAATCCTGTACCACATCCAACCTCCAACACCCGCTGCGGGGGATTGTTTCGGATGAAAGGTGTGTAGACGGGTGCGCCATATACCTGGATCATCAAGAGAGTCCGCAGGCTCTGGCGATGGAGCTCAGCGAGGTCGGTGGGAAGAGGGTACGCCGACGTAGGGTCATTGTAGTAGGTGCGGCCATTTTTAACGATGAAGGGCTTTGTCGCGGGGTCAGAGTTGGAGTGGTCTGTTGAGGTCATGGTTTGTGTCGAGACAGTTGTGTTGCCACTTGTGGAGGAGACCGAGTCTGTTCGAGGAAAGTCGAGGTTTACCTGCTTCGTCGTCCCTGACATGAGTTTGTTGCCTGCATCCAACTGAGAGTACATGGTGACATTTTTCAGATCGACCGAGGTTGTTGTTGGGGTCGCAGCGGAAGATTGACGACGAGGATCGCGCTGTCGAGTCTTGTCGACGTACACAGGCCGATTGAAGACAACAGGCGAGTGTAACGGCGATGCACCTCCGTTGGTGAGACTCTTGCTAGGTAGATGTTTGTTGGAGGTCGAGGCAGTCGTGGTCGTGGTCGTAGTCGTCACTGGCTTCGAAGATTGTTGGCGCGAGTCAGATGATAACAGTTTTGAGTGCGAGTAATGAGCGTCGTCCTCTGCCAGGGCGGGGCCGTTTTTGGTATTGGGGCTGGTTGTGGAATGCACAAGCGACGACGAGTCGTGCGAGGAACGACTACCCTGACTCCCACTAGACGTCCTCGTATGGCGAAAAGGACGTCTTGCGCGGCTGGAGTTTGGGGCAATGTCGTGTGAATCCGAATTGGATCGAGGAGGAGTTTCAGGGCGCTGCCGCTCCTTTTCAGCAGCCTTTGCACGGCGACCAAAGGTGGGTAAGGGGTTGGCAGAAGCGTAGTAAAATCCGCTCCATTCAGACATTGTTGGCTATGCCGCTATGCTATACTCTTTGGCGTAAGCTTTCCGGTGGATAACTCTGGTGAATGGGGAAGGGTAACTAAGGGGTGCTGAGTGGTCTAACAGGGGTGCCACTAGGTAAAATAACTGCCCGGGCGTGTTCCAGTTCCACCGCCGCTAGCAAACACACTTGCTGCTCAACTGACGAACTGAACTGAACGGAACCACACACAAAGTCTAACGACCCGTGATGGTAGGCCAAACGGTACCTACAGCAAATCTCCTGGCCCCCGGTCGGTAGCACCTTTGGCCCTTCTAGAACCCTTCTCTGGCCCGCGGAACTGGGTTATCAAGTCCGGGTGGTTGCCGGATTGCGTCCCGGACCATGCAGGGGCAGTAAAAGCAACAGTAGCAGAAGGCCCTTGGTTGCTTGGCCCTTTTGTTGACGCTTGCCTGATCAGAGGTGTCGCCTAAATCGAAGAGCAGGGTTCGTTCATCGGCCAGCGTTACGCTGAAGATACTATCCGTAATTCGCGCAAACCTGATGGGTGGGAAGCAAATGTGGATGTGGATGTGGATGGATGCGAATATCGAGTGCCGAAACCGTTTGCAACCGTGATGTCAAACGTTGTTGGTCGTGCGTGGACCCTTCATAAGCTGGTTGGTTTCGTGATTGTGCCTGACTGACTGACTGCCTAACAAGCAGAAGCCAGCGTCATTATCTCTATGCCGTCGATGGCTTTTATGCTCAAGCCTGGTGGATAAGGCGTCTGTGCTGGCGCGACCTTGGATCCGCTGGTGCAACCAGCTTTTCTATGATGGCGTTCGCTGGCTGGCAACAAACAGTCCCTGCGATGTGATGTGATAGCCGTTTGTCCTTATCAAAAGGTGACGGGTAGCGCCGCAGGGACGCGTACAGTTCCCAGAGTCGGTATAGTTGATAAACTCTCACCAAACAGCAATTCGGATAGTTGCGTCGAGATCGAGCACAAGTGGATTGATCTGTTTCGAGATCGAGGAAAGAGAGCAAACTGCACGTCCTGTACTGTGCATGTGCAGCACAGCAGTTTCAGGTCAGACAAGCAGTGAAGCAAACAAGTAATAAACAGCAAACTTCGCCTGCAATGGCGGCAGCGGTGACTTTCTATATACGGCCATCCCCATCCTTCATGCTTCACGCTTTCACGCTTGCTCGGGCCAAAAGGCAGCATTTCCCCAGTTCCCAACTGTCTGGGGTGTGGAGCGGCGCGCTTCGGTTGGCCATCCCCCGCACATTAGAGCTTTTGCCTGATGTTTTATTGACGCTTATCGAATTAGCAGCTTCCTTTCCAGCCTGACCTTGGCGGTCCGAGGTTTCTTGTGGTTGGTTAGACAGGGAACAGTGCCTCTCTAACCTGTGATTTCTGCAGGCCGCAGCTCACCTAAACTTTCTCGACTCTCATGCACTTAGGTTGCTAGGTCCCGCATTGCTGCAGTATCATCCATGTACCATGTCGGGAGGATTCAACTCCCAATTTCAACTTGCATCTGAATCTGACAGCGTAAACATAGTCTCCCATGTTCACGTTTCAGTGAGTGTAAACGTACCAATCGCATGGGTTGCTCGCATGAATGATTGCCGAGTTAGCCATGGAGTCAAGTTTGCGATCTTCTCCCGTCTTGGAACGGATATGTTCGAAGTTCAAACGAGACATTTCTGTGACAGGAGCGCTACCCGAAGAGGAATATTGTACAACGGTCCTATTCTCGGCCGAATGGCATAACATTGGATGCCCATACCGGTTTAAGCTGAAGTGTTTGCCTCTTCGATTCAAGTCCTGGTAACGTGATACATGAGCCAGAATTCAGTTGGTTGGCCCATGATTGTTCCCTTTCCCGATGGTGGTGGTTCCAATGTATTCATCCGGCCCATCTTGACTCTCTCCGAGGCTGCGCGCGGTCCGTGTTAGTGGACGGAACCATTGAATCCGTGGAACGCCAAATAACAGGGCTGTCGGAGCGATGGCGTTTTGCGAGATGAGACCTGATCAATGGCGTCACTTTACGGGCTGGCTGTGTCCTCCTGGCTACAGCCACGCTTACTGGTGTCCGCAGCGAGTTGATTGATGCTGTTCCTGGAACATACAGATAACACATGTTGTCTCCTGTGGTTCGAGCACCAGCTGTCCATAAATGTACATGTGCATATGTATCTCCTGGCTTCATGGGAACATGCACTGCGGCACTTCGAGCCAATTGACAGCCCTACGTTGAGGCTCAAAAACACGCTAGTAATTGTATCGTGATCATAGAGGTTGAACTCAATCTGTGGTAGGTCTCAGTCCCCTGATGAACTCCATATGTGCACATGATGCTGCAAACATACGATTGCTAAGAGAGGATTCTGCCAGAAAAGATGCAAACTTGCGTTGAACATGAGCAACGCAAGCATATTTCGCGAACGTGCCTTGTCTCACAATGGCACAAGAACATGCAACTATCGTCGACCTGATGCGGCCTGGACCTTGCAAGGCTGAATCGTCGTTCAAGGTGCGTCGCGCAATTATAGAGAGGCTGCACGTGATTGTCGATTCTGGCTCTCCTCGCACGAGCCATCAGAATGCGGAGCAGGTGCACGTGATTAGACGCCCGCTTCTGGGCTGCAATTCCGTTCATCGCAGCATCACGGCCAGCATCACAGTCATATCCATGCGCTCCCTCTGCCATCGGCCACTTTTCTTCTGTTCAAGTATCAGTTGATTTTTTTCAGTGAATATCTACATTGTTGCGATCGCTCTTTACAGGTGCGTTGGCCCAGCAGAAGCTAGCAATGACAGCGCAACGTGTCGCTAAAGCTTGGATCCCCCTCCCATGATGCCCTTCTTTCAAAGCTTTAACTAATCATTACCTTTGCAGTATTTCTTGACTCACATACACTCTGCACTTCTGCTTCTACAAGAAAAACTTTGTCGCTTCGATAAGATCGATCGTGACTCAAAAAATTTAACCTTTCATCACTATCAAGCCACCACAGATCTGGGACTGTCGCAACGACACCTCTCGATGAGCTATTGACCTGCCGACGAACCGACGTTCTCCATCCGAGCCAGAAAAGCAACGACAATTGTTCCGGTCACAGCTGTAGGCTGATGCGTAAACGCGAGCTATCTTTGCTTTCTCTCTTTTGGAACCTTGGGTGAAGTTTCGAGCTCCGTCGCCAACCAACATTTCCCCGCTGTTACGCGAGCCCTATCAAAGTCAAAAATCGAGGCTATATACGACGGCCGATGAGCTTCTCCAGCGATTTGCTATATTCACTTCCCTCCATCACGACTGCCGATCAGCGATATCTACCGCCGTGCTGCTCGCCGGCGCAACTTCCTAGACCTCCACCCCTGAGACTATAACCATCATAATCACATCACAAATACCTACCGGAATGTATCCTCAACACTCCGGGCAGGGTCAACATGCTCGGCTCAACGGCGCCGGGCGAGGCATCCCGAACTTGCTATACAACTATCAGCATACCCAACATCAACACCCTTCTCAAACGCAACACCACCAAGGACTTCAACACGACCATGGAATGCCCAACGCTAATGGCCTAGGCCATCACTCAACCTTTACCCCAGGTGTGCTTTCTAACTCGAGTCCCTTCAACCCAAATGCGCTTCAGAATGGTCATTCTGCAGGAAACCGAGGACAGCCACCTCCGAACGAAATGTGGCAGGAGCAATTGCGAATGCACAAAGATGCTGAACGAGCGCATTCTGCTATGACCGATCAACAACAACCGCACTACTATGCTAGGCTCAGAGCGTCGGAAAACCGAGGAATTGGTCCCCCACCATCAGCTAGCCAACGTGCCCACCCGGACGACGAAGACGACGGTGTTGATAGGAGACGACCCTTGGCTATTGAGAAGGAGGCAACACGGCAGGACTGGCACAATCTGGATATGAGTGGGCAGGGGTTGCGAAACTTGGCTCCTGAGCTCTTCAAGTATAAGTTTTTGAACGAGCTCTTTATCGCCTCCAACAAACTGACACGACTACCAAACGCGATTGGGGAACTACGAGCATTGCGCCACCTCGACGCCTCCTTCAATCAGATAATCGAAATTCCCCCCGAGATCGGAATGTGCACTTATCTCAAGAACCTGTTACTTTTCAATAATAACATCCAAACATTACCGAACGAACTTGGATCACTGCACCTTCTGGAGATGCTTGGCATCGAGGGCAACCCATTGGACGCGGACGTGAAACATAAAATCATGGAGGAGGGTACAAAGAGTCTGATACATACGCTGAAGGAAAATACTCCTAGTAAGTCAATGGCACACCTGGCAACGATTTATGCTAACAGTTACAGTGCCTATTCCTCCCGCACCCCGAATGTCCATCGTTATACAGGAGGACGTGTCACCTAGTCTGGAGAGGATCAAGGTTTTCTCGTGGAACATTCTTTGCGACAAGTATGCGACACCCCAGACTTACGGTTATACGCCCACCCGCGCCCTCGACTGGGAATATCGCAAAGGATGTATCCTGGAAGAACTCCGCATCAGGGATGCGGATTTTCTTGCTCTTCAGGAGGTATCAACAGATGCTTTCAAGGAGGATCTTAGCCCGGAACTTGCTCAGATGGACTACAAGGGAGTTCACTGGCCCAAGTCACGAGCCAAGACCATGTCGGAGAAGGATGCCCAGTCTGTTGACGGTTGTGCAGTCTTTTACAAGCAGAGCAAGTTCATTCTTCTTGACAAGCAGCTTATCGAATTCGCAACGATTGCCATCAACCGACCCGACATGAAAAACCAGCACGATGTGTTCAACCGTGTGATGCCTAAGGACAATATTGCTGTTATTTGCTTCTTTGAGTCTCGTCTCACCGGAGCTCGAATTATCCTGGTCAACGCCCATCTCACGTGGGACTCTGCCTTGGCCGATGTCAAGGTTATCCAAACTGGTATCCTCATGGAACATGTTACGAAGCTTGCGGAGAAGTACGCGAGGTGGCCAGCTGTCAAGGACAAGAAGATGATTGTGCTACCGATGGGCGACGACGAGGTACCTGTGCCCCAAGCTGAGCCAGGCCCGAGCCAAGAGTATCGCACCAATACCGAAATTCCTCTGCTGGTCTGCGGTGATTTCAACTCCACAGAAGACTCTTCAGTGTATGAGTTGATGTCTATGGGACGTGTACCACCCGACCACTTAGAACTGAGCAGCTTCCAGTACGGTAGCTTCACGCGAGACGGTATTGAACACCCTTTCAGCCTGAAGGACGCCTACCACCACCTCAAAAACACCGCCGATGCAATGCCATTTACCAACTATACGCCTGGATTTGCCGATGTGATTGATTACATCTGGTACTCTACGAATACTCTGGAGGTAGTAGACCTTCTTGGACCCCCCGACCCCGAATACCTGAAGCGAATTCCCGCCTTCCCTTACTGGCACTTCCCTGCAGATCACATCCAGATCATGTCTGAGTTTGTGATCAAGGGCCGGAAGGATAAGAAGCACCTCCCCGATCGTGAACCGGACTTCGGCCCCGGGTCACGCGGTTGATATCCGCAGACGGGAGGGCTGGGACCCGAACCCCAAATCCTCGCATGAGGAAAATACGTCGATACGTACATCTGGATGTAGTTATTTTGGTTTTGCGTCATGGAGTTTTGAGGAATCTTGCAACGGCTCTTGGGGGCAGGGCGGTGGGGGGATGTTAGCGGTATGTACACAGGCAGCGGAGAAAGGGGAAGCATATTAGGTGGAATTGTAGGAATTGATTCACAATGTTCTTGTTTTTGTTCCCTCTGTGATGTGTCCTGTTACATGAGGCATGGGCGGTTTCTTGCTTTGGCTTCTGTTATCTCCCAGGAGTATCATGAAGCTATTGGCCACTCTTCTTATCTTTCTGCCTACCTGCATCATTTGTTTGTCCTGCACGGCATGACTAAGTCATATGATGTCAGTCAGAACCAACGAGTGAGCTTGTATCTTGTGCAACCTACAAGCCACCCTTGTCGAAAGCGGATGGCCGCAGACCGCATCACCATTACGCCCATTTAATGCAGCACAGATAAGAGCATGCCACTTGACTACGGAGGCTTTACATGGCGTTTGAACCCAAGGTCCACCCAACCTAGATGATGTAATATTTCATTCACGTGGTTCTTTGTTCTCCATGTCATATATTTGTCACGAAATCTTCCATAAACTTAAACCTGTTCACTTAACTTCTCAGCCACTTTGATGTGTTCCAACGAACACAGATATAGTAAATACTAATATTGGTCCCAAACAACACCATTTTCTTTTTGGGATCATCGTCAGTCAGCATGGGACCTACCTCTCACACCCAACTTTGGACCTTTACAATGCCGAGATAGCCCGTGTCTGATATCCTCAAAGTATTGGATGCATCGCAGCTATGCAGGCAAACCTCATCTTTGCTCTATATACGCACCCAACTGAGGCAATTTTCACTCGCGCCTTTTCAGGCGCTGCTTCAGTGAAAAGAACGTTGAGAAGATGGGAAGAATCCTGATGGATAGTGTCTCTCGTCGGAGATGATTGACCTGATTTCGGGAACACATATACATATATATTGAACAGGCAACTCTATTCAACAACCAACCTCAAAAGAGCACAGCCGAGCTCATCGATCAGTATGGCTTGTCCTTGGGCAAGAACACCAACGGAACTTAGCCAGAGGTCCTCAGAGGGCTCATGAGCCGTGGGAAGATGCACTTCAGTGTACAGGACATGCCTTCACGTTCACGAGACTGACAACCTCGACGAAGTCTGTTTGCAGTTCACGATGTCTCGACTTGAACACTTGCAACGTATCCTCAGATCACTGGGATATATATACCCGCAGAGCACGCAGTCGACCATCAGCCAACTTTATCACCAACTTCAGTCCACTTGACGGTTCCCTGAGTACTTTCAAACTGGGGTATCTGTTGTTTGGTACTTGTGCTGGTAATCTTGGCCTATTTCTTCAACCTTCATTACATACACAAAATCAACGACCAGATCAGCGACCACCGCTTTCGAGTCATCTTCTCAGTAAACAAGATGTCTCAGTTCTTTGGATTCTCCTGGACAACTCCCCACAGCTTCATCAAGAGCTTTCGGGAGGAAAGTCCACGCTCCAAATACATCAATGACTTGGTGGAGCGCATCAGTTCCGAGATAGGGAGCGGAACCACAGTTCTCTTGCAGGAGACCCTCAGAAATTATATACATCCTTGCAACATGGACCTGGCCCTCACCACCATCAACCTCATGCGGTTCCCCTTCAACACAACATCGCCTCCTGGGAACGACTACAGAAACCTCCGATATAGACGCACCATCACATTGACTGAGTCGTGGAACATTGCTGGGTATCTCACCGAAGTCTTGAGCAACGGGAAGAGACTCCACGAGTTTCTTGAATTAGCGGATCAAGTCAACCAACTTGCCTTCATCTTCGCCTCAGTCAACCACCCGGAATACTACTGGTTTAAAATGTTCTATCTGTACTCTACGGCCAGCACAAGAGATGTGATTCTATTTCTGGTTAATATGATCCGCCGTCGAATGTTGCAAGCTATCATTCGGAACCCGCCTGGTAAGCAACCTACAGATCTTGATGGTAACGCTATTGAACCAAATTTGTTTGCTAGAGCCCAGCAAGCATTTTGGCTCCACGAGTTAAAGCTTCGAGCGCGAACTCTCGAAGAGGGATGGAGTGCCAACCAAATCCAGATTCCAGGAGATCAAAACCCTGCGGATATTGTTGAAACCTTACAGGGCCCCCATGATATCGACGTAAGGAGATTCCTAGAGTTGGTAGAATTGCAGCGGTTCGAGGGAACTTTTTTCGACCACGGGATTGAGGATCGAAAGAAACTAAGGGATTTGAACGAAGGCCTCCTCGGATTCTCAACGCCTGATTATCTTGGGATTCAGGGATCAGCCTTATGCCTTCCTCGTAGTGGCGATAGATACTCCATGCAGCTGCTTTTCCAGCTTGCGGCCGTGGAAGAGCAATCGGAGCTTTTCTGGGAAAGGTACGATTTTCAATCTCCGTTTTGGTATGATGGCTGGTTCGAGAAGTATCCTGTCTCTGGCTCGATTGAGCACTTCTCACTTGGCATCGATTATTCCCGCCTCGAAAGGGAGCAAGATCATCAACAGGAGTGAGGAGCTTTTAGAGGTAAAGGAAGAAGGACAATACAAACAGCCACAAGAAGAATCACGATGGTATATTGACGATTGTCAATAGGAGGAAGAAGAAGTTGAAAAGAGTATCCATAAATGCTTCGACTACTAATGTATTATGTTCCGTTGAGTGTTAGATTTGGGATAGTTCGTCTTGACGTAGACTAGAAAGAGCGTTTCAAAGATACAAAAACCCTGAATGACCACGTCCCAGAAAACAAAATGTGACGCTTATGAACAATGTAGAGAGGTATCTGTCGTTTCTATATACTTCCTGATCTTTCTATACAGGCCCAAAACATGAGGAGAAGAGTCTATCCACCAACGCCATCACACCAACCCAGCCTCTAGTGAAGCAGAATGTCATACCCATCCTTTGTAATTCTCACTTCTTCCTGCCCAAGGCCGTACTTGCGCCGTATCAGCTCAAAGATGATCAATCCCGCACTCGTGCTAGGAACCTGCCGTATCGCGTTCCACCAAAATCCTCGATAAAGCCATTTCGTTAAGGTCAGACCTTCGGCAGCTGCCTCTCCTCGACATACGGCTAGCGATTCTTGGTATGCATGGTAGTAGGCTCGTAGCATCCTCCATCGTCGACGCGGCTTTTCAGGGTTGGCGACTCGGGAAGCACGAAGTCTGGCGGCTTTTTCGTCGAGGTCTTCAAGGTGATCCCAATGTTTGACTTGGAAGTGTGTCAAAGGATGTAGTAAGATCTGCTGTGTAAACGAAGCGCTGATACCACCAAGAAGAAGAAACATGGGCTCAAGGGCATAATGAGGTCGAATGAGCCTCATGCCTTCTTCTTGTTGGTGTTCATGCGTAGGACGCTTCATGGCGAGCACATCGACAATGTCCTCAGCCAGACCACCGTAGTACCACGTAACGAAGCGATAGTAGCCTTGAGCCTTGACGTACTCGAACGTACTGAAGAAAATAGCACTTCCAAGACTATCTTTTGCAAGTGATAGGCCCCATCCTGCAAAGATACCCCTGAGTCCAATCTCGCGAAGCTTCTCTGCGCTAAAAGCCCACATGCTCCGGGGTTTCCCGCTGCCATCGTTTGGCATCAAATCCCGATGGTCGTACCGTGCTTGGATAGCGTCTAGGGGTGCAGCCACAACACTCTGAAGTGCGCCTGCAAGCAATCCAGCTGTGAAGGTATGCGTCGGATGAGGTGGTGGATACACTCTCTTCCGCGCTTGTCCACTCTCCTCATGGAGTCGTCCTAAAATTTGGAGATAACTCGTGTACAGCACCGCTCCAACACCAACATTCGCAATAAGAGGCGGTAAAATCTGATTCGGTATAATTCCCCATCCCTGGTGTCTAATAGCCGAAGTCAGAACTCCGGGCGTCGTACTTCTCAGCAACAACCAACTCTGTCGCATAAACACATTGAGCCGAGAAGCAGAAGGATCATTCGCAGCAGCTTTCATCATAAGCTCCGTCTGCGCCTGGTGAATAGTCCTCGCATAAGCCAGATAATCCACACGCGTTCTAAAGAAAGCCTTGGCAGGAGCACGGAAGTAAAAGGCGATGAGTTGAGTGCTCAAGGCACGAACACCAGCTGCTGAAGCGGCAGTTGCGGCATTGCTTCTGGGATCACGGTCTGGAAGCACAACGTTGACGTCGGGAGGTAACGCCGGGAGGATTCCGGTTCCATAGTCCGGGACGTCATTTCGACGATTGTTCATGGCGTTGAGGGAGTCATGTTGAGAGAAAGATGAGATTGGGGAGGGAGCCTGTGAGGGAAAGCAGGTTGACGTCGGCTTTGGGAGTCGATGAGCTGGTGACTAAGCGACGTGGACCAATCGGGTGCTGCAGGTGACGATGATCTTGGCCAGCAGGTCCCGAGATCTGAGGCATCCTCATGAACAGCGCAGGTGACTTGAGATTGCAGGGCTTATTCCAGACTGACTACGGTTGAATAGAATAAGTTGGAGGCTCACTGTCCTGACCTAACATGCTTCATTTATGAATGAATTACGTATGAACCTAAGTTGGTGTAAGAACTCAACCATTCAGAGGTTATGTCTGCCGTAATTCACTCGATCCCGTAGAGCAGTCAAGAGGCAAGAAAAACACAAGATGATCAAAATGTCGTAACTTTTCATTTCCCACCCAAAGACGCCGTCTATAAATGCAGTATCCCCTGTCGTGAGGTATTTCCAGTCTCATCCTTCATGCTATTCATTACCCTGGAGCTCGTCCTTACTCAGGCTGCTCACGTCCGTCCAGCCACTTGCTCATGTAAGGACCATCCAACCAGAAGCCAAGCTTCTTGTAGTAGCTTCTCACTCCAACACCGGAAATAACACTGATCTTGTCGCTGCCGTGCTCCTCAATCGCAATCCTCTCAGCCTCCTCCATCAGAAGGGTACCGAAACCCTGGTGCTGGAACTTGCGGGGATCGCGAGCGTGAACTGGTACAGCTGTGCCGTAAACGTGAAGCTCTCGCACCATACTTGTAGGCTGGCCTGTAAGCTCTTCTCGGTAGGTGTACTTCTCGGTACACTTTCGCAATCGAAGCAGAGCAACGAGGATATCTTGCTTGGGGTCCTCGTAGGCAAGGAAAGTCTCCCAACCGCCGTTGGCGACGTAATCTCGTCGAACCAGCTCAATCTGGTTAGGTCGAATCTTGTTCTTGATCTCGTTCACTCCAACCTCTCGTGTCCGTACATCTCGGCAGGTTGTTCCAAAGTCCTTCATTCGAGCGAGCGCCAGTTCGCGTAGGTTACCATTCTCAACTCCAGAAGTGACCAGGGGCATGGGAATATCACGCTGAACACGGTAGATACGAGTCCAAGGAGGAATAAGAGCCATTATTCTTGCGATGAGGTCGATCAAGCCGTTGGGAGTGTAATTCTGGTATCGCCCTGTCCTCCACAGTTCGTACAGACCTGTACCTCGAATGACCAGGGTAGGATAAATCTTGAGGCCGTCGGTTCGGAAAGCAGGATTCTCAAAGTATTCCCTGAACTGGTCGATATCGCGCTCCATGCCGACGTTTGGCAAATCAGGCATCATGTGGCTGACCACCTTGTAACCTGCATCCTTTGCAAGACAGAAAGTCTCGGCGACTGCGGCAACCGTGTGGCCTCGGTTGGAGTCTCGCGCGACATCCTCGTACAGTGATTGCACTCCAACCTCAAGTCGTGTGCAGCCATATCGCAACATGTCGGAAAGATGAGGCTGCAGACAATAATCAGGTCGTGTCTCGATTGTAATTCCGACACACTTGATGTTGCTCATCTCGCCAGCCTCCACGGCCTCATCAACATTGGTCGTTTGGTATCCACTAAGAGCATTGTGAAGCTGTGCAATAAACTCCTCGCGGTATGACTCAGCAAGAGACATGAAGGTTCCTCCCATGATGATGTACTCAACCTTGTCGACAGAGTGGCCAAGAGACTTGAGCTGATCAACACGTCCTCGAGCCTGCTCGAAAGGATCGTATCGTGCACGAATCGCTCGCATCGAGGTAGGTTCGTAGCCAGTATAAGACTGTGTGCTGTACTCGAAGTCGGAATCAGGACCTCCAGGGCAATAAACACAAATGTTGCCGGTATAAGCGATATGGGGACATCGATGGGGCTTGCACATGACAGCGACAACAGCGATACCAGAAGACGTTCGAATGGGCTTCGCAATGAGCTTTGGAAGGATGTATTTCTTGTAGTGTTCGGGAATGGAAGCGATGATGGCGGTCAAAGGTGGGATGTTCTGGAGCTTGTGCTTCTTGGCGAGTTTGTTTCGCAGGGAGTTGAGGTTGATATCGCGTGTGGCCCGACCAGCCTTACTGGCTTCGTGGTCCTCGATGAGAGCATTTGCGACGTCGGCGCAGCATCGCAGGAAGCGCTCGCTCTCGGGAGCCATGTCGGGCTTCTTCTTGATCGGCGCAGCCGTCACGGTCATGGTGGCCGTGGCCATGATGATAGTCGTAGTCTTTCGAGAAGAAGGGAATTTTTGAGGATGTCGGTTTGTGTAGCGAGGGATTGTTGAAGTTGTTGCAGATGGATGATTTTGTGTGCCAGTCAAAATGACATGGATGGGAATGAGTTATCGATCTTTGCCCCTCCAAAAGAAGCTTCAGATGGAAAAATCGTGGTGGGGCTGAGAGTTTTCCCCACCCAATGCGGAGATGGGCAATTGTCAAAGCCAAGGTCACGTGGACCCTTCATCTTCAACATCGAAGTCAGGTGTTTTGACTCTTAGACATGCAGTTCAGAAAGGTTGATCATCACCAGACTTCGGGTTTCACACCAGGTGTCAATTGACAGATAGTTTGGGATTCCCTCAAACTTGAAAAGTCAACGCATTAAAAGATCTCAATTGGCTCAAGCTTTAGGCAAGAGGCAGGCCGTGCCGCCGTACACAAAGACTCGATATTGATAAACATACTGGTTTCCCATTCGATAAGTTTTGAATGGAAATCTACATTGTAAAGATGCATGTGGCCGTTAGCGAACCTTCTCATACTGGCGCAGCTCCTGTGAGTAGTTGCATATATAAGGGACCTTCCCAAAGCGCTTATTTCTCTCTTCAACTTATTCTACGCCGGCACTCCGCTTACGTCAAAACCTTGATTTCTATCCTCTTCCATACTGCAAAGTATAGAAATGTGTTCCTTGTCGGATCCCAATCTTGATCTCGAAACAGATCCTGATTTCCCAGATGATTTCCAATCGCCGCAAATCAACTCCGAATATCCCATGTACGGAGTAGGAGGGTACCATCCTGTTCATCTCGGTGATCTCTATGATGGCGGCCGTTATCGTATCGTCCATAAGATTGGTGCTGGTGATACCTCTATGATATGGCTGGCGCGCGATTCTTCGAGTTAGAGTTGGGTAGCTCTTAGGATCCTGATGGCCGGCCAACCGTCAAGCATCCAAGAGAACATAACCAAGTGCCACACCATTCTGACTCAACACGACCAAGAAGCAGGAGATCCTCGGTTCATTACCTATACGCGATACTTCCACATTGATGGCCCCAATGGCCGTCATCTCTGCTTGGTTCTTCCCTTCTGTGGTCCAAGTTTGCATTCTTTGTCGAATTATATGAATAGCAGGATGAAGCCACACTTCGTTCAAGCACTCGCCTACCAAGCAACAGAGATTTTAAGGGACTCGCATGCCAACCGCATCTGCCATGGGAACATTCGACCAGGAAACCTACTGCTGCGAATCAGGAATCTGGACCATCTCAACGACCAAGGAATTTATCGACTGCTTGGGCAGCCCAAAATTGACGAATCGAAGACCGAGTCTGGCAGGATCCCAGGCCCGGAAGCTCCTCGCTACATTGTCGGCTTTCTTGATTTCATGTCAAGTGGCGAGGACATTCTTCTGAACGAATTAAGCCTTATTGGGTTTGATCACGCTTTCGAAATTTCGTCACCGAGGACAATTGAACCCCTGCCTGAATTTCTGGCACCTGAGGTAGCTGTAGGGAAGCCAGCCAGCCCAGCAAGTGATGTTTGGGCACTGGGTGTCACCATCCTCAACATGCGTTCAGGCATCTCACTGTTCCCCTATTATGTCGATTGCCCAGTACATCTCATTACAGAGTGTTTGAAGTATTTTGGAGAACTTCCAAATTCTTGGGAAGAGCCCTTTTACGATGAAGAGGGGCGGCCGACATCAAATAAAACCGCGGGCCGTGCAAGGGAAGTATCCGATGAGGTTCACTCGCTGAAGCAATGGACCTGCGATATCTGGGACGAACCAACCCAAGTGAATGAGAATGAGTCAACGCCAGCAGCGCCATTTCTTGTCCAAGATGAAGATAGATCGCTTCCCAAAACCTGCGAGTGGCTAAACGACGATATTTCTTCCATCATCAACTATGATCCCCAAGACATAGATTGTCTGGCCGCCATACATGACAATACTAAAAGACCATACCCGCGACACTACGCCAATCGGGTTTGGAAGCCATCTGCATTCAAAATTAACGGTACTTACCTCCCAGAAGGTGGGGGAGTGGGATGGTTCGCTTACCTGCCAGGAAATAGTGATGTGGAGGATAACCTTCAGGCATTGCCAAGAATATCAACACAAGAAGCTGATATGCTGTATGACCTTTTGAGAAAGATTTTCGTGTATGAAGGACGCATAAGTGCGGAGGATATCTTGGGTCACCCCTGGTTCGGGATGGTTCAAGGGGAAACACAACACTGACAGCTATTTGTTGTTTCGAACTATACTTAAGCGGCAAACCTATTTTTGTTGCTTGAGCAGTTGAGTTGTGCTAGATATGAACTTGGAGAGCAAGTGACCCTCCGACTCTAAAGTGTTATCAAAATCATTGCCTGAGGTAATCTAAAGTGCGTCTAAGCTTATACTGAACTTACGTAAGTCTCTTCATCGTTTAGGATTAAGCCACTATCCTGAGAACGGCAAGGTATTTTTGATGATATTCCTCTTCAAAACCATGTCCCTACAATGGCAGTGGGGTCCATGGAGCCAAGACCACTCGATGAAGCACGTGGGCCACGTTTATATCAGCCTCAGATCCTTCGAAAAATCTGAAACAAAGTATCCGAGTTTAATTCCATTCAAGACCTTTTGGGGACTTTATGATCAGTTAATCATGCTTTAGAGGATCGGGATCCTTCACACGACTCACAAGTCTGTTATTCTTGAACAAATTGAGGTTTAGACCTTGAAAAAGGACCAGGCTTGCTCGACTCGGTCACCAAAACAGGGAATATCCATTACTTATCTCCTATCCGTAATATGGGATAACTTTCCGGAAGGATTGGCATGTAAGCTGCTTTTTCGCAGGGCTGAGAAGAGTAACGCCACGGAACCTGTGATATAAGGTTGCAACTAATCCTGATTCTTGTTATGCATAAACACTAAATATCCGTAAGCTCAAGCTAAAGTGATCTTAATTTAGCACTTTCGCCATTAAGTTCTCCAATATTGGACGGCGACCACGGTTGATGATGATTTGAAATGGAGTACCGTAGGTTTCCTGATTTCACGGGCCCCAGTGCAAAACCAAGAGACGTTGCACTTTTCTTCCAAGCGGATTCAACCAAGATCGCACTATCCAGATTGGAGGATGCGCACGATGCCGTCAAAAGTGCAATGCAAGACGCAGGCTAATACACAAGTACTTGAAAGTAGGATCTTCAAGACTGCCTCACCCTAATCGTTCATACAGGGATTCCCATGCAAATGATCTCCCAAGCTCTGTCTCTAACCCAAACGGAATTCCTTATGAAGCAGGGACTAATAAACAAAGTCCGGGCCCCTGTATTAAGTCAAAACATACCCCTACCACTACGTGCCGTCATCTACACTTCTAACTGGTGAACTCGCCAAGAGACGGGCACTAGATTAGCGAGAAGGATTATTCAGGACCAAGATGATTCTGAATATCAACACCGAGTGAGGTTGAGGAAGCTCAGAAGGATTCAAGAGTAAATTCGAAGGTTGCATGACGCCCATCTAGGGCTTACTTTTGAATTTGATCTGCTGATCCTTCGATATTATGGGTTCAGAAACTAGTGATAGTAAGAGTATATAATATCTTGAGAACTCCATGATGAAGAAGATTGTGACTAAAGATAAACAGCAAGCTACGAAAAGGCCGACTCCAAAATGGCACGCTGGACACAACCTCTTCTTCTGACCACTTCGGTCCTCCTTTCTCTCTCTTCCACTGGCACAGCCCATCCCGCAAACAATCATGCAATTTTCCCCAAGCACGCTTTGGTCCCCCCTGTTCTTCCTCCCAATGCTTTTAAGCGTCAAGATGCACCAGCCACCGAAATCACTCCTGTTCCAGAGGTGAAGCAAGCTGAGGATGTCTCACAGCCCACCGCTACAGTCCCCTTCGAGGCACCCATCCCTGCTGAGGATACCAATGACTGGCGCTCTGTGAACTGTGAGGCTGATGGCGTCAAGGACCATACTCTGTATGGACCTGATCGCTGGAAGAATGTCGATGCTGGTGATGCTTGGAGTGCTGTTATTGAAGGATGGAAGATGAACATTACTGGCGGACGTGAGCAGAAGCACTTTTCTAACAATGTGAGTTTCCAGGTGGAGCATGGAGAAGTATTGTGGCTAATATATGTAGGTTTCCAACTTCTTTCACGGCCCTCAAGACATGTTCTGCGAGACTTTCAGTGATGAAGGCAGTGGATGTGAAGATCTCAACCTCCAGTGCCACTCTACTAGTGTTCCTGCTGGCTACTTTATTCTTCACTCCTTTGAGAACATCTTTGCTGTGAGTCCCTTTCAAGATCCTGGCAGCTCAATTTCCTAATAATGGCAAGATGCACTCCAACATTTGGAACGCTGTTGGCGATGCCGTTCGTGATAACGACATTGGCACCATTGCCTCAGAGTTTGGCAAGGTACCTCCCAAGGAGGGAGGTCTTGCTACTGCTATTCTCATTGATATTGCCTTGATGGCTTGGGGTATTGTCATGGGCCCTGCTTGGAACAAGCGTATGTTGTTCTTCTCATATTGATGGACACAGACTGACGATGGACAGTGATCGGCCCCAAGTTCAGTGATGGCACTAATGCTGGTACGCTGAAGGATACTACCAATGATCTTGTCAAGAACTCTTTGACACTCACCAAGGATATCCTCAACGGCAGAGCGTATGTTTTACCACCCCGTTTCATTTCTCAACTGACAATTGCGCCAGCCAAGACCAGCTTGGGGTCCAGAACGGTCTCACTGCTCAAATGCAAGGCCTCACAGAAGGCTGGAAGGACGGCGTCCTCGCAACCCAGAAGTGGCTCTTTGGCGGTTCCGAAGATGGCTACAATCAACTCGGTGCCATGATTTCTGATGCCTCTATGTTCGGCGATAACTGGCTTCTCGATCGTGGCGACCACGCCAAGCAAGTCAAGCACGCCATCAACGCCTTTTTGATCCCTATGGCATGGCAGTACTCCCCCGATATCATCATTCCCTTCATCGCAGAGTCTGATGTTGCTTGCGACGAAGATCCTGGTTGGAACAAGGAAGCTACTTTCACGACTATGTACCAGCACTGGATTGATGATGGTGCTTTGAAGGACGGCCGTTTCTGCTTCAATGGGAAGTCCTATTGGCTCCTTGGTGGTCGTGATCGTAACACCAATTGTGACAGCAAGTCTGGCGACTCTGACTGTGGTGGCTTTGCTCTTCCTCCTGGATGGCAGTCTTTGAAGGACAAGAAGTTTACTGACATCTCACTCGATAACGTCATTATTGGGTAAGCTTCCTTCATATACTCACGAAAAACGATACCTTACTGACTTTATAGGTCTCTCAATTCAAAGGCTGCTAATGGCGGTAAGAACGGCTTCAAGCTTGATCTTGGGGATGAGCCTAGCCGAGAGGTCCTTGATAGCCTCGCTGGTAGTGGTATCGAGGCCCCTGGTGTCTTCAACATCCCAATTTGCACCATGGATGAAATCATTGAGAACTACTACCTGTGGTATGGCAATAGTCGGGATGATATGACCAACTTCCCTTGCAACGTTTGATTTCAGTCACTGATATTAGCTTTCCTCCTCTTGCTTGGAATTCTCTTCTACATTGCCCCCTTGAAACTTTTCTCTTACAAAGTTCGCTGTATCTAGGTTACTTAGTTCTAAATTTACCTTGCTCTATAGACCTTTTCATACATCCAAACAAAGACCCCTGGTCACTCTCTTAAATCTGGATTAGATTTAATCAGTACAATTTGACATGAGATGAAGTTAAGGACTAAAGCTTGACCTAAGGACTGTACATAGAATACAACACATGAATCTATAAAGCGGTTTCGTGGAAAATGGAAGTGCCTTACGTATTCATCAGGTTGCTGACCCTCTTGCATCAGCCAGATTGGCTATCTGATGCATCACATGACCTTAGGACCCAGCCAGGTGAGATAAAACAAATGATGCCCAAACTCGTTTCAAGTCCAGTCTCTTCATAGTCAGATCATATAACAAAGTCATTAAACAATTGTTACTGTGGCCAACTCTTGCTCTTTAATTACGCGATTTACTGTACGGGGATCCTCACTGCGGGGTCAGCTTACTATGGCTTCACTCGATCTCAAGCGAGCACCATACCCAACCGGGGACACTGAAGATGATATTCGAAAAGACCCGACACTGTGTCGAACATGCTGGAATCTCTACGGAGGGTCGACTGCCACCGCTGTTCCTCTGGCTGGTATAGCTATGCACGAAAATTCCGGTTCCATCAATGCAGGCAGAGCGGCTACGGCCGGTAATCTAGATGAACCTCCTGATTGGGCAGGGCGAGGTCGCATCGACTATGCTTCGTGGCAGATCAGTGTCTACCTGCCTGATGTTCCTGGGACAGTAGCTGGAGGTTGCCCTTCTTGTTTCCTTCTTCAAGAGATGTTGAAGAAGTTGACCAAAGGATCAGTGGATACCAGTGATCCTGAGCTATGGTTGGACATTGTCTTCTGTAAAGGGAACGTCTTAAGGATGAAGCTTATCCGTGGGAGCCCTCCTGACGACTTTGACATGTTTTCATCCGGTGGCGGAAGCACGGATGGAGACGTTCTTGAGAGTTTCGAGATATACACCCTCCCTGGTAAGACACGGAATTCACTGTCTAGAGCGATAGCTCACACATATAGGTTCGCCCTGCCCATGGCCAACTATTGGCTCATCGATGAACGTTGAACGTCCTGACTGGAGTCTTCCTGCTGAAATGGGTGGACATGCAAGCCATATTGAGCCAGATCCAACTTCCAAGTCATCTTTCGATAGGGTCAAAAGCTGGATCAAAACCTGCAAAGATACTCACACAATTTGCACAGAAGGCGAGGCTTCATCAAACCCGCAGCTACCGAAACGAGTCATAGATATTGGGCCTGATACCAACGATGGAATCCACATCTTTGTTCACGATGACGCCACACAGCAGATTACAGAACCATACATTGCGTTATCTCATTGCTGGGGAAAGACTCAGCACTTGATCTCGACGAAGGCAACTCTCGACCAGTGGAAGCAAAACATTCCGTTCGACCGCTTCGCCAAAACATTCCAAGATGCGGTTATCATCTCGAGAGAGTTGGGCATTCGATATGTCTGGATAGACTCTCTTTGCATCGTTCAAGATGACAAGCAAGACTGGGAAATCGAAGCAGCCAAGATGGCGTCCATCTATAACGGTGCGGAGCTTGTACTGGCTGCCACTGGATCCGCTGATGGGGCTGGTGGCTGTCTATTTCAAAGAGAGCATTTCGTCACAGTTTCCGGAACATGTCCCGACGGAATGCCATTTGAGATCTATGGACGAAAGGTGGTGAAGCATGCAGTCTTTGGTTGGAACACAGACCCCAACGGCTCCAAAGGATCATCAAACCCTATTGTTGGAACCACGGTTTCTGAGGTCTATGATTATCCTTTGATGACAAGGGCTTGGTGTTTCCAGGAAAGGCTCTTGGCAACTCGAATTCTCCACTACACCAAGAGTGAGATGATCTTCGACTGTCTATCTTCAATGGAGTGCGAGTGCGGTGCTCTGGAGAAGCATGAGGATGACCCACTGGTACCTGCTCGTCGAATCATGAAGACAGGACACAAATTTATCACCGGAACAAAGAGCTACCGAGGCTCATCTACCAATCCCGCAGCCCCCCTAAAGGGAGAGATCAAAGAGTTCATAGAGCATCATGAACTTTGGCGAGACTTGATTGTTCAGTATTCCCAAAAGAATATTACCAAGCGAACCGATGGCCTTCCAGCCGTTGCAGGATTGGCTACTGAGTGGTCCAATAAACTTACAGGAAGATACCTCGCAGGTCTTTGGGAGAAGGATCTGCTCAACGATTTACGCTGGATGCCAGATGAAAAAGACTCGGGTGAGGAACCAGAGTACATCGCACCGAGCTGGAGCTGGCTCAGCGTTCATCGCGGTGTGACATGGGGAGTTGAGAGCTTTGAGTTTGACAAGTTCTTTGTGGCCGTGGATTTTGATCGTACAGCATGCCCTCTTAGCGGGCACAACCAGTTTGGAGCCGTGGACTCTGGGTACATCTTTCTCACCGGCCGTGTCATGCCTATAACCTTTTCCATCGATGGAAATATGGTTTGGTTAGAAAAACCAGGGTATGATACAAGAAAACCATTTGACAGGCCGGATAGCCTTTGGAAACTGCGAAACCTGAAGAATAATGAGCTATTCTGCCTCAGGTTTTCGACAAGAATGAGCACAAGAAATGCTTGGGATGACGATGCGGCGATGGTGTTGGTCAAAGCAGATGATATGATTTTAAAGAAGCAGCCCGAAGAGGTTCGGAAGTTTGAAAATGTTTATCAAAGGGTGGGATTTATCACGAATTATATGACCCAGGGCTGGAATCATGAGAGGGACTCGAAGGAGATGGGCATGTATATCATTTAGCTGCCCAAGGTTTCGTCATGATGGGCAGAGTTGAATAGATCTGGATAATCTGAACAATTGGTCAGATAAGAAAGGGGAGGCGAGCCGATGAAGACAACAACGGAATGGAGAAGTGTTCAGTTCATGATCTGATATATCAAGGTGCCAGTAAAACCAGAGCATCCACCCTTTGCGTAACATCAGTCATGGCGGTGAAGTTGAAAGTTGTCTACCCATCGACCGACTCAGGATGTAATACCTCGAATAGTCCGTCGATCTCAACAAGGTGACAAATTCCATTGTCAAGGAATGGATAATTGGTCATTAGATAAAGTTCACCGACACTCTAAGCGACATATCCCACCGGAGCGGAATCTATCCCGCCAGGAACTTGATGTTCGATGCCCCGCTAGGTTCATTCGGTATGATGTTTGCGAAACATCATACATCACTTAAGCGTGGGATAACCGAGAATATGTGTTACAATTCCAAAGATAGCATGAGTCAAGGAGATCGGGAACGTGCGCCAATTGCATGTTTTATCTGGTGATAGAAAAGTAACTCGATAAAAATCTCTTAGTCTAGAGAAACACGAGATATCGCTTCTAGACATGACCTGATGTCACTGACTAGTGGCGGAGCCCTACCGCCGCGCTGGGTCCGGATCTGACATGATCGGCCAAGCTCGGAATTACAGGACTTCTTTTGGAATTCGATCGCCCGGTGTAACATCTCATGTTGCAGATGGTGTGACCCGAAGCGTATATGGAGATACTGATTACGTATAAAAGAAAGACCTTCAGCTCCAGGGCTGAGGGCTGTATGTTCTGTACTACATTCAGCTACAAGTCATTCAATCTATTACAATGCCAAAGTACGTTCTCACAGGCGCAGACGGCAATCTAGGCCGTATCGCAGCAAGCTTCGCCACAGAAATCGCCAAACCTGGCGATGAACTCGTCTTCACCACATACAAAGACGAAGCTATCCCCGCTGACCTCCGCAAATCGTGGACCGACAAAGGCGCAAAAGTCGTGACAGCCACCTACGACGACATTGAGAGTCTCAAGGCGGCTTTCCAAGGCGCTGAAGCTGTGTCTCTCATCTCAACTTGGCTCTTTGGCGAAGGTCGACGCCGTCAGGCCCAAACTGTCGTTGACGCTGCCAAGGCATGTGGCGTCAAGAGAGTCTGCTATACCTCCTTCTGTGGAGCGGGCATTGAGGCTGAGAATGAGGAGGATATTCCTTTCCTTCCCAGAGATCACCACTTTATCGAGAAGATTATCTACGCTTCTGGCCTTGAGTACAATATCCAGAGGAATTACCTGTACGCAGATAACATTCCAACTCTTTTTGCGCCCTCGTGGAAATTCTGCGGTGATCGCTGGCTCGTCAACACACACGGCAAAGCAGGCGCATACGTTGCCCGCGAAGACTGCGGCAACGTCCTCGCCGCTCTGCTCCTAGGCCGCGGCGAACCTAACAAAGTGTACGAGATCACAGGTCCCAAAGCCGTCACCAACGAGGAGGTTTTCAAGTGGATGTGTGAGCAAACAGGGTACAAGGGAGAAATTGTCGATCTTCCTGATGAGGAGTTGAAGAGTTGGTGGTTAGATCATGGATTGCCCGCGGACTTCTTTGGTGACTTCTCAAAGTTGCCCATGAAGTTGTGTATTGGCGATCTTTTGTGCTGTGGAGAGATGGTTGCGACTGGGTTCATGGCTGAGATGAATGACAATGTTGAGAAGTTGACGGGTAGGAAGCCGATTCCGTATCAGGAGGCTTTGTTGCAGTACAAGGACCTCTTTCCAAAGCCCTAGATAATATTTTAGATAGTTGTTTATTAGATATAGAGTAATGTAATTTGTCAGTTTATCTGGTCTATTGCTCGGAGTGAAATATACTTAATTCTATCTGACTGAAGCAACTTGGACATAAAATTGTATCACCATGATCCGTATAATTAGGGTTTGATACTCCCTCTTGCCGTCAGCCTTGTTCAAGGCCATGGGGCTTTTACCTTTACAACGAAGACTTGAACAGTGATTGGGGTATGATATATGGTTGGCACAAGCTAGAACCTTGATTTGCATTGACTTTGGACTGCATTTTATAGAAAAAAACTGAGAGTGAGCCTCGAAACATGCAGCTAGCAGCTGGCAGCAGGCCACTGTTTGATATTACCCAGACTTCAGAAACTAACTCCTGGTATCGTGACGAGCAAGTTGAGCTTGGCAAACATCTCACAAAATACGAGACCCCTAATCACAAGCAGCAACATCCGGTATGGTGTAGTGGCTAACATTTCGCGCTCTCACAACCTGAGGGATTAGTACCGCGGAGCCCAGGGTTCGATTCCCTGTACCGGAGAAATCATTATTCTTTTGCAATTTTGTTCAATCGCGCTCCATGTTCCATTTAGCCGAGCTTTTAGTGTGTGGCGTTAGTGATCAGCCCTGCCAGCGCAAAAGCAAATTCGCGATGGCGCCTAACGCCACTTTAATAGTATTCACTAGTGACATGCACGATTTGATTAGATGTAGAGCCAATACACAGTCTAACAACAGTCAGGGGAAAGAGGTAAATAACCCGACTTTCCTACCATTTTTTCTTGGTTGATTCTTCTATATTCTCACTCATTCACTCATCTCTGTCGTTTTGACTGTCATTCGTTTTTACTAGTCATGATGCTGTCTTCCAACGTTCTACGTGCTCTGGCACTCTTTGCTGCTGCTGTAAATGCAGGCCCCTGCCGTCCGTCGACAACTCTAGCCGGAACCACCACTGAGGTCACCTTAACCGCAACTGTTGTTGACAGTACTACCGATCTCACATCCACTACCATCGAGAGCGCCACAGAGACCGAGACAACCAATATTCCCACCACTACCACGGCCATCGTTGATGAGTCTACCACTACCGCTGTCATCGAAGAGTCTACCACTACCGACATCCCTACCACTACTACGGCCATCGCTGAAGAGTCTACCACTACCGAGGCCGCAAGCACCACGACCACCGCTGTGGTTGAAGGTTATTCATGCTCTACTGCTGACAACTGTGCCGAATACACAGACCTGTGTCTTGATGGGCTGATCAACTTGTGCCTTTGTATAAACGCCGTTTGCATACCTGCGAACTAAATTCTGCACTGCCATCGTGCCAGTACTATCAGCCCACCCAAGCTGATCAAGCTCGAAATACGGCCGTCAGTCTGGGTTGCATAAGTCACTGGGTATCGTGTCACTCACCGCAGAATTGGAAGACTTGGTGTATCATATGTTCAATTCTATCTGAGCGAGGGTGGATCAAGGAAAACAGCGTTGCCATTATTCCTTAAAATCGTTTTTAATCCTAATTTACAATTTTCCCTCTGGGTCACTATTTAGACCATGGGGTTTCTCTTGAAAGAATTTCATAATCCGTGCTTCATTGAAGTTACTAGCTCCGGGCCAAGGTGGACACTGCAAACCAATATACCATCAGCACTAGAGTGAACCATCGAACTTTTATTTTGTTTTTAGGCTGCCATTACAGGCCCAATCGCTTTTCTTCTTCGTTCCCAGCAGTTTCATCAACCCGCTTTGACAATAGACATCAAGAACGCCACTATCAAACTCTCAGATTCTTTGCGAAACGGATGAGAAAAATAAGAAGCTGCATACTGAAAGTTTTCTGTCAAGTTAATAAACGATAATAAAGTGGTAAGTTTATAGTGAAGATCACATCCATTACTTACGGTCTCAGTCATAACAAATAAGGCCTGTTCTGCATGAGATCCAATATCAGAAACTATGCATCAAGTTATCTAAGTTAGTGACATTCTACTTAGTGGCTCCCTCCTTAAAAATGATTCATACTCCGAGATATTTCTATTCCAGATTGGCGCTCCCACCACGCGCAGGATATCAGCGGCTCTTCGCTTCTCTCTGTCCTCCAACTCTTGATCAATACCAGCTGCTATAAGAAGATTCGCGATTTTATAAAGTTGATATTCTTCTGCGTCATCTTTAGTTTCGTAAGTCTTCTTCGCTCTGCCCAGAGCAATTTGGTTGGCAACGTGATGCAATGCAGTCCAGCCTTTCAGATCTGTTTGGTTGACAGATGCTCCAGAGTCCAAGAGGAACTGAACAGTCTCTACTGGGTCAGGAAATGGGCTGCTTCTAGCTATTGAAGAGATGAACACCATAAGAGGGGTCTCTCTATTGGGATATGGTCCCAAGTTCTGTAGGGTGATGCCATGTCTGTGTAGATATTCCAAAACAGCCCGTTTCCAGTGCCTGAAGCCACGGGTTTCCCCATACAGGTTGAAGCCATCTGGAGATGCACCCCCGCAGAGTAAAACTTTTGCATATTGAATAAAGACCATTCCATCGAGTGTGCTTGAATCGGCATCACTGGAAAGACACAATAAAGCTCGTGTTACTTCATCCAACTTCGAATTGGGTTGCGCCCATATCTTGGCTTCAGAGCAACAAAGAAACTTGACTACATCAAGCCTTCGGTTGACCACAGCAGTGCAGATAGGTCCTTCTAGCTGCCGAGAGGCTCTGATCCTTGGGGCGCCAGCCTCTACTAGTAGCGTGACCAGATATTCATCGCAGCGACTAATAGCAGTAGCCAAAGCAAATGATGGATCCTGCCATATGCTGCGTCGAGGATAGCGGTCGAGCAATAGCGAAGCAACTTTTTGATGGCCGTTGAGGATCGCAAGTTCAATAGGCGTCATAGCCACGATCTCTGCCGTGCTCAGTTGTAGCACTCCACCTCTTTGGACCCTGATCAATCGATCCTCACTCCTTGGTCTCGTTCGAGAGTAACTGTAAAGCGAACGAATGTCGGCTTGTCCTATACAGGATAAAATGCTTGCGCTAACGACAATCTTTCTAACTATGGCAGTAATACCAAGCAGACATGCCAATTGGAGTGCTTGGAGCTGAGTTGCGGAAGTCGTGTCTTTTGGGTGTTTGAAGAATATAACAGCACTTCCATTGATGTATTCAAGCCCCGCAATCGTGTCATGATGCTCGGATGCTGTCGAGGGAATGGTCGATATATGTCCCCGCCCGTGTCTCAGTTTGGATAGATGAGAGAACCAGAGTCTTCGCTTCTCATGCTTTCGAGTTAGGAAACTCAACGCTCTTTTGGCCAAGGTCTCATTGCAAAGTTTTTCGGGACATTCTTGGAGGTGTTTGAACCAAAATCTTGAGGCGTAAGGTAAAACATGAGCATACTCCACAGAAGTATCCCTTTCAGCCTCTACCTTGAGGCCTTCCTCCATGATTTCCAAACAGCGAGAGGCGAGAATCTCATGGCCGTTATCTGGGATGATTTGAAAGAAGTCGAAGTCAGAATCGGTGTCGCTTGGGGTTCGAAGAACATAAGGTTGAAGCAAATAATCTTTTGCTGATCGGTGGGAGAATTGAACGGTTTCTATGGTTTCATATCCAGAGCCAAGCCTTCTTATCTCGGTCTTGGTCATAAGAAGAGTCTCACAGTAGCCCAAACAAACCTTCAGGTTTATCAAAGCAGTATCTGGCGTTGAAAATTCATCGCTGGTAAGAGTGCTTAATTCCTCAAGGCTCAGCGGATGATATGCCAAGGTTACCCAAGTCAAGAGTGATCGTGCTTTTTGGCGAAACTCTAGCGGAATGGCCTGCAGAGATCTTTCATAGATGGCGTTGATGTCTCCAGCCAGATCTTCAAGGTACTGTGCTGCAGTACCTTCGTCTTGACCTTTGAGTCCAGAAACAGCTAAGCTCGCCCAGAGGAACGAGCTCCCAGCCTTTTTTGTGAGGCTCTTGTTCATCTGTTCTTGAAAGTCTTGAGACCAGCCATGATCAAGTGCGATATTCGAAACACGATGATCGATCAAACGCTGTACACCTTGAGCGTTGTACTTGTGTGCATCTGAGTCTAGGCAGATTACTGAAAACCCAGTAGAAAGATTGTCTCGTTGGCATGGATGGCGACTAGTTAGAAGGATCCGGAACTTTCGACGACCTTCATTTTCTGAAGATAGCAGCTCCATGAACCTCTCCTCCAATGATTTGATCGACAGTTCATCACATTCGTCAAGCCCATCAACAACACATGTAACAGTTCCTGCGTTAGGATCCTGGACCATCGCGGTGAATATTTGCCAAAGAGTTTCCACTGAGTTAGTTGCTAACGCAATGTTCCCTTTGTCGGCCGATACAGTCCTCTTGAGCCCGTGATGTAAAAGCTCTGGACGTAATCTGCAAAGCTGCCAGATAAAACCACGAAGGACAGCCGCGGCAGAGTTGGCGTTGATATTTCCGTGGCTGCAAAAGAAGTATAAGACTATGTCGGTTGACATACAAGCAGTGAGCTTCTCCAGTTGCTCAGTTAGGTAAATCGCCAACATAGTCTTGCCGTGACCTTCGCCGTCCTGGATATAAAGGCCTCTGGAGTCACTGGAGCCTGAGATCCATGACCTGTATGCGGATGTTTCAGTAAACCACGTACATGTTTCTTTGACTATTGGCCCTTTTGATGATACAAGTGCAGCACGGTCTTCCCTGGGATCTGTGACGAATAAGAGGTTCAAGAACTCTTTCTCGCGATCTTTGAAAGTATGAGAATATTCCAAAGAACGACCATCAGACTCTGAAGCCCAAGAGAGTGGTCGAAACCTTTTAATAATTAGATCAAGACCTAAATAGATAATTCGAAAGGGCACATACCTTGATTTTCGAAAAGCTACGAGACAAAGCTGCTCTCTATGTAGATCTCCAAATAGAGCCTTTACTTCGCGACTATTCAGCTCAGCATAGACCCCAAGTAGTCCTTGCTGAGTAGAAGTGTGTCTACCGCCATTATCAACCCACTCAATTCGAGAGAGAATTCTGTTGATGAGTTTGTAACAGTAAATTAATATCTGTTTGGTCAGATCGAGTTGTTCTTCGTCGTTGTGGTCATCAGCTGAAGGTTTCAGCTCAATATCCTTCGCTAATCTTGAAAAGCTCTCAAGCTGCTGTACCCTTTTCGAGACAAATTTGGTATTTCTATCAAGTTGTTGAAAGAATCGTATTGCTTCGTCTGTTATTCCAACAAGTCGGGCAGCGGCAATGGTGATGCTAGTTGTGTCGTTCATGATCATTAGAATAAATCAAGGGAAATGCTGATACAATCAATATGAAACATTCCCGTAGGTGTAATTATACTAAAGCTTCAACAATGACACATGCTTATACTACTACCCATGGTTCATCTGTATAGAGGCCTGGTAGTTCAGTAAGACAGCTATTTTTAACGTTGCTCAAGCCAACCACAGTACTGAATTGACGGGCAGGGATATTGAGCACTACTGGTCAGATCACGGGAGTCTTCGTATTCGCTGCGCCACGCTCACTCGAAACATGGACCTGGCCTTTTCTGGGAGCGATGACATAGTGTTAGCAGGGGACCATTGTCTACCTAACATCATATTTCTCTAGATAGTCGATTAAGAATAGCGAGCTTGTGCATATGCGTCGTCATGCAGGATCTTAGTATAGGGCTGCCTATCGAGAGTGGCTGAAACATGATCCAAACCAACACGAATACATCGGGCTCGTATTTCTCACGATATGCTATTGTTAGTATTTATAAGGTCTTGTTTTCTTTTCTGGACGTGGCTTCTTTGATTCGTGGCCTGGGCACTGGAGAGGCTATTGTCAGTGACTAATGGTGTCGTTTGGGCTGAAGAATTGTACCAAGAATTTGGCAAATGTCCCGTGAACGATCATGGTCCTCCTCAGATTGTTCAAGATATTAAATATGTAATAATGTATAGATAGTACCTATTACTGTGGCTTGAATCTCTCAGGCCCAGCCTGATCTTACTTGCGACTGAATTCGGATTCGCGAGGCAAGACAATCTTGGTTGGAGTTAGAGTGGCCTCTGAAACTCACGGCTTCACAAACTCAATCGAGTTTCTCCCTACCACTGAAGGCCATTGTCCCTCCGCATACCAACGGCAAAAGCTTATGAGTAAACGTTTTCCGAACCTCGGAGACTTGATCGAAAAGAAACGTCGATTCAGTGACAGCCTCGCGTGACGTAAAGGCCCAAATCTCCTGATGTTGGCGGGGTTCTAGAATTCGGAGTCATAATTCCAGTACTTGAGTGCGATACAAATTGCGGATTGCGAATGCGGCTTTCGTAGCCCAGGCACGGGACGGGACACGTGGGAAAGGCTCCGCAGTGGATCAAGATGGAAGGAACTCAATTTCCAGGCTCGCTTTCACGTTCTTCTCGGTATAATTACACGACTGCAACGCTGCAGCTGTCACTGTTGGGATTTATTGCTTTTTGGATCCTTCAATTGTTACCCTTCGACATGCAGAGATCACCAGCTCTATATCTCTGGCATTGGTGCGCGTAGAAATACAAATGCCTCTCGCTGTTTACAGAGCAATCGCGGATAATTCGGGATATTTCTAGCCCTGTAATTGGGGTCAAACAGCAGACATGCCTAGCACATCCTTTGGGGTCTTTGGGGGTTGTGTCACCTTCTCCATAGGGCCCCGGGAGGTCAGATATGCTTACTCCCTCAGACCCATTGGTGGACGTCGGCGTCTGTTGGCGGCTCAGCAATGGAACTGGAACCCATCGCTACAACGTCAGAAAAGAATCGGCTCACTCTTTTGCGGAATGGTAAGACGTTTCCACTGCGGGGATTGCGCAAAGCACATGGCTCAGTACACGAGACTGGCTTGAACGGTTTCTACAGTGGACGTAGACCCCACGGGGTCACCTGGCTCTGCCGCATCTCCGCGGATAAAGGTATATCGTAGCGCGGTTCACAGTAACTCACAGGCCCACGACTTTACACCATCTCCGGTAGTTTGGGTCCGTTTTAGAGTTTGGCTGAATATGATCTGATCAAAAGCAATATCCAGAACCGGTTGATACCCCGTGGCACCACAGAATTATCATTATGGGCTGACAGATGCTTCTTTTATAAGTTGAAGCATGTCGCTGCTATATATCCAAGCTTTGACTCACCCAATTGCAATACACCATATTATACCCAATTACAGCACCTACAATTACTCTACAGCAAAACTACAATGCTATCGTCAAGCAACGTGATGCGAACTGGCATCCTCCGAACAGGAAGACTAGCCACGCGAAACACGGCACTTCTCGCACGTTCAGCAACAGCTCAGATTCAAACGACCCGTCGAAACTTTTCTTCCAGTCAACGAACACTCTGCCCAAGCTGTGCAACTTCAGGAGGACAATCATGCGCCCGGCATAACCCTAACAGTCGCGCTAGCGCCGGAAACATCACAACAAGCTTCAGTGCTAACAGTAGCCTCGGCAAGACTGCCGCTTACGCTACAGCTACTAGCCCCATCATTCCTAACGAACAGTGGGCGCAGGTTTTGGAAGAACGAGGTGGAGGTAAGCTAGCTATAATCTCTTATGGAATGGACAAGAGACTCTGACGCAAACAGCTGTCCAATATAAAAAGATCCCTGTTCCGACACCAGGCTCAGATGAGGTTCTGATCAATGTCAAGTATAGTGGAGTCTGTCACACAGACCTTCACGCCGTCAATGGCGACTGGCCACTTGAATCGAAGATACCCCTTGTTGGCGGTCACGAAGGTGCCGGTATCGTAGTAGCACGAGGAGAGCTCGTCAAGGATGTTGAAATCGGTGACCATGTTGGCCTGAAGTGGCTTCACGGCTCCTGCATGAGCTGCGAGCAGTGTCGACAGTCCAACGAATCACTTTGCTCAGAAGCTTCCCTCTCGGGATACACAGTCGATGGCTCATTCCAGCAATATGCTGTTGGAAAGGCCGCTCATGTCGCGCGAATTCCTAAAGATTGCGACCTCGCCGGCGTAGCACCTATTCTGTGTGCTGGACTTACAGTCTACAAAGCTCTCAAGTCCTCCGGCGTTCGACCAGGACAAAGTGTCGTTATTGCTGGCGCTGGAGGCGGTCTTGGCACTTTCGCTATTCAATATGCCAAGGCTATGGGTCTGCGGGTGACCGCTCTTGACGGTGGAGACGAGAAGCGCAAGGTCTGCACTGAGCTCGGTGCTGATGTATTCGTTGACTTCAAGACATCGACGGATATCGTTGGAGAGATCAAGAACGCTACAGGTGGCCTTGGCCCTGATGCTGTTCTGCTTCTTGCAGCCCGTGAGAAGCCATTTCAACAAGCTAGTCAGTATGTCAAGAGCAAGGGCACTATTGTCTGTGTTGGCTTGCCAGCCAATGCTTTCGTCAAGGCTCCTGTTTTCGACACAGTCGTCCGGTAAGTGGAACAAACCCTATCTCAGAACACGCATTGATGAGATATAATAGTGAAATCAACATCAAGGGCAGCTATGTCGGTAACCGACAAGACACGGCTGAAGCCATTGAGTTTTATAGACAAGGCCTCATCAAGGCACCATACAAGTAAGTATATCCACTACATGCAATCACGGGCAAGACTAACATGGAACTAGGATTGTCGGCTTATCACAACTTCAGAAGGTCTATGATATGATGATTGCAGGCAACGTTGCTGGCCGTTATGTGGTGGACACCAGCAGATGATGACCATGAATGTTTTTGATATTATGGGAGGTTTATTGAAAGCGTTTCTGACGTTGCTTGCGGAACAGGCATGATACCACGGAGGATTTGTGCATAGCATGAGAGGAATGATTCCTAGTTGCTACTATCTTAGTTACTTTTGGCTCCTTGGCTATTGAAAACAGGTATGATGGACTCAATAACAATTCTAAGTTTCCTGTACTGTATTAACATAACTTATTTATTTCTTATAAGATTCTCACAGCACATGTCCAGCAAAAGAACATGATCCTTCACCTGAGCATTGACTAGGTACTTGACAATTTCTTAGCAGAGATATATACAATTTGCAAAAAGATCAAAAAGAAACTCCGGTACAGGGAATCGAACCCTGGGCTCCGCGGTACTGTTCCCTCAGGTTATGAGAGCGCGAAATGTTAGCCACTACACCATACCGGATGATAAGGCTTGTGATTATGCTTTGGATGTCGCAGCGTGATCCCAAGTTGCTTACGAGTGACATCAACACGGATAGTAGGAATCAGGAGCTAAACTCCAGTCCGAACTCAGGCTATTGGAGCGCATGGATAAAGTGAACAACTTGTCGATCCCCTCTTTAAGCATGACGATCAAGCTTAAATCATGTAGCCGCCCCTCACATACCCCGCGGTCCGTTCTCAGCCAGGTAACCTTATGGTAACCGAGCAAATAGCGAGCTGTATATGCTGCTTGTTATAGGGAGGCCTGCATGGGCATCAGATCATATGCTGCATGTTATACGAGAGCTCCATAGTATTGATTTATCCTAAGAACGGGCTCTTTTTTAGGAAATGATCGGTTAGAACGAAGTATAAGAGACAGCAACAATCAACGATAGAGTGCAGTTTCTCTCTTGTTTGGAACTCTGTCAACAAAGTTTGCCTCTACGATGCTTGTCCTGTCGGTAATCACTTCAGTTCTTGGTTTATGCTCAGGCTTTGCTCTTGGGTTTACCAATCCAATAAGAACAGGAAGTGACCCTCATATCGTCTATCAAGATGGAATGTGAGACTCTTCCTCTGACCAGTGCTTGCATGTTACATACTGAACCTACTCTTAGGTACTATCTAACCTCAACAACATGGACCAACGTCAGCATCACCAAAGCCCCAACCATCGAAGGCCTTAAGACCGCCGAGTCCCAACTCATTTGGTCTGACAGGTCCAATGCTACTAGAGCGTGCAACTTCTGGGCTCCTGAGATGCACAAAGTTGGTGATACCTGGTACGTGTACTTCTCAGCAAGTATTTGTGATGAGGGAAATTGGGATGTTATGCTGCCAACTTTGAGAATATATGTTCTCAAAGGTGGCAAGGAGAATCCGTTGTCGGCGGATTATGAGATGCTGGATGCAATTATTCCTCCTAACTTCAATGCTGGAATGCTCGATGCTGTAAGTGAGGCCATGGTCTTGGAAAGGTCTATGACTAACGATGCCTTCAGACCATCTTTGAGATTGAAGGCACCGAGTATTTCCTTGTAGGTATCTTACAGCCCTTACCAAAATCCTTCCCTAATACTCGCTCAGTTCTCTTCCGTCGAAGGACCCAAGAGCCCTGATGGTGCCTCTCTTTGGATCGCCAAACTTCTATCACCCACAACATGCGGCAACGCCACAATGATCGCACACCCGGAATTCGAGTGGGAAAAGTCCGATTCACCCGTTCTTGAAGGACCTTATGGAATTCTCTCCCCGGCTGGAACAACTTATGTAGTCTACGCTGCTGACTCCTGCAATACACCCGCCTACAAACTCGGCGCCATGAAATTCACAACAGGTTCTGATCCGCTTAGCCCTGACTCTTGGACCAAGTTACCCGATCCCATTTTCGAGACGAAGAATGGGCTTTATGGACCTGCGCATAACGCATTCTTCAAGAGTCCTGATGGTACGGAGGATTGGAATGTCTTCCATGCTAACCTCAACGCGGAAGATCGTTGTGGCCCCTCGAGAAAGACGTTTATTCAGCCACTGAGTTGGAAGGATGATATGATTGATTTAGGCGAGCCACTTCCTGTTGGCACAGAAATCAAGCCCCCTTCTGGGGAGTAAGAGTAGGAATAGGTGTGGTGACAAGCCTATATGGCTCTCTTCGATATTAATATAGTCATCAAAAGATTTTTCTCATCCTCTAGCTCATCTAACAGAGACTTTACTCGCAGCTTTCCGAGAATTCATTGACAGCCTCTGCGCAGTGTAAGATATCGTGCTCAACACAATTTAATAGGTATACTATGGTGTCCGAGGTCACTAATGAAGATCTTTTTACCACTAATGGTAGAAGCTAGGTTGACGTATACAGTATATGAAGGAGGCGATCTAATTGAGGAATCACCATGCTCTTCGCATTCCTTTATTAACCCCATACAATCAGACCTTATCCTTAAGAGCAAGAAAGTGTTAGACCTCAATATTAGGTATTAAAATAAAGTTACTAAAAGATATCCTAAACTTATGCTAAGTTACCTTAGTCTTTTTATCGCCTCAGATTGAGGTCCTAAGTTTTCTTTCCTCCCCTAACATGCAATCTATCCCCCCACATTCTGATTGAACCTCCCAGGACTTCTCATGAGCTATGGACGTTGACTATCATAAATCATTCGATCTACCTTTGCCTTTGCTTCGACGCTATGATCAACACTGCCCAAAGTCTTCAAGATGTCTGCCGTCTCGTCTTTGCCAGAGAGAACAGCATAGTAGAAGGGGCTTTTACCTCGAAGGTCCTTCGAGTCAGATTCCACGCCTTCGACGTAAAGGAGAGCCTTGACGACTTCTTTATTTCCTTTCTCGGCTGCATAGGAGAGAGGAGTCCGGCCTTTCACGTCCTTCTCATCAGGCTTGACACCTCCTTCCAACAGATACTCAACGATTGCCTTGGAGCCAGTTTCGCTTGCATGATGCAGCGGAGTCATCCCAAAGGGGTCTCGTCTGCCAATGTCAACATTTCCAGTGTCGGCCAAGACCTTGAAGACATCAAAGCGGCCGAGTCTGGCAGCTGTGTGCAGGTGACCCATAGCCTTGAGGGATGCAACAGGATGACCTAGAGATTATCAGAACTTCAAGCAGACAAAGCAGGGGTAGAGAAAAACTGACTGATCCAGTCAAATTCAGAAAGAGGAAGTTCAACAAGAGCTTTGACACTCTCCTTGTTGCCCTGGATGATGGCACGGTTCAGACAGTCATGGCCGATGTCAGTGTGCTTGAGTTGAGCGCGATGCTCGGGCTCTTGCAGCAATGATTTGAATACGGCGGTATTACCAACTAAGCGGAACAGAGGGGGTTCATTCAGGTGCTTTTCCACAGCGGCTCGGTAGTTAGCCTCAAAGGGGTCCATGATGGTGACCAGGTGAAGTGTATGATGCGAGAATGTGAAGACTGGGCTATGTGGGTAAGATGAGGAATGAAGACTATTGATCTTCACCTGGATTCTAGAGAGCATTTATAGTTAAATAAATCAGTGCTTGTTATGCTTTCCCGACCAGCGTAACGCACGTCAGTTTGTAACAAAACAAACGGCAATACACTATCACTTGCTTGTTTGTCTAACGCAAAATCTAAGTCTGAGGGCAACCTTCCTAGGGGAGAGAAACCCAGGATTTCGATCCTAAATGACAAAAGGATTTAGGTAATTTAGTATAAGTTTAGAATAAACTTAGTATACCTTTTTCTAAACTGATTTTGAAGCCTTGTATGAAGGTCTGATATTTTCTTGCTCTATAAGGACCTCCTAAATAAAACCTGGGCGTTTTAGCTGCAACTCAGAAATACACAATCGTTAGAAAACGCATCTGCTCTTATTCAACGGAGCAGCATGGACAAATATGAAAACACAAGCTCACTATAAGCAAATATGATCTGTATAACTTACCTCTACCTTAGAGCTCAAGATTTGAGGCTTTGTTGTGAATTATAAGACTTCAATACAACTATTTGTACAAGCATCATGTTTTCAGCCATTGCCAGTTTGGAAACAACACGAGAACTTGGGAGTTGAGACGAATTCGCTCTAGCCTCATATTATTTTATCTATGCCTTGACGTCTGTCATGTATCTCGATCTTCCAATACGCCGGTATAACCTTTCTAAGAATATGTCACTGTCGTAGTACGCGTCTGCAGAATTGCCTTTTCAGAGTCTGAATCGCCCTGACTATCTCCTGACATTGGCCGTGTGACTGAGCGTGATCCTCCATTCTTATTCTCGTGACCCTTTGATGCCTCTGCTTTGGTAACAGTCTGCAATGGATACATCGGTCCATCGTCGAATCGTTCATAGTGGTCATGTCTGGGCATACCGCCACTGGAGATTGCTCCGATGGTTGGTGGTGCGCTTGGGTTTGACATGCCTGCCTTTGACGCTCCGTATGAGGAGCCAAGAATCCTTGGCGAGATGTGTTTGATGAATGGTTTGACTGTCGTGAGAGTCGCGCAAATGATGGAGAGGTTGGCTTCGGCGAAGCTGGAATTGTCAGAGGAGAGGTTAGTTAGGAAGAGGAAACTTACATCCAAAGAAGAACAGGACCACCACCCCAGGATTGGTCAACGTTACCCATGGACCGAATCAACGCAATCAGTCTCATGATTGATGTGAAGACAGTACTGGTGTTGTTAGCTTGCCCCTTGTTGCCTGAAAATGTTTGCTTACACTCCACCAACACCAAAGAAGCAGATCAACCCAATCTTTTGTCTTCTGGAAATCTGTAGTGGTATAACAACAGGTATCGGCACCGCAAGCACCATGGCATCTGTAATCGCACCCATTATAGCCGTAGCCTGGTAAACAGCCGGTCGATCGATGCACTTCTTATCGGTGATTGTGATGTCCCAGCCCGCTCTTACAGGTTTGCAGGGGAAGATTGTCGTAAACGTAATCGCAATCGAAGAGCCAATCACCACAAACGACGTAGCCCAGATTGTTACATGAAACCACTTCTGTGGTGCAAGCCGACGGTAGACGAGAAGCAAAGCCATCTTTGCGCCG